CTTGTTGCTTCCTCTTCCCATACTTTTTGTTCCTTCCATACAAGCATATATAGGAGGCCCAGTTTCTTTCTTTGTGGGTTACAGTTTGTTTGAATTGCGCTGGCTAGGTGTTCCCACCCACTGCAGTGTACTAGGGAGACACAGACCTGGGCAGTCTCTGCTGGGCCTACTCCTCCAGGTCAACCTACCAAAGGCTTCACTGCTAGGGTGCACCTCCAGGCGCTGGGACCTGGTTTGGGCTAGCCTACTGGGTCTTAGTCAGAAGCCAGGCCAGGTCACCCAGGCCAGGCACTCCCCACCAATCTTGCTTGAGAGGGGAATATGCGACTAAAGTTACTGTAGCGTCCTGGCAAGCCTGCCTGGTCCCAGTATGTCCTTTGCTGAAGCCTCCTACGCTATGGAAGGGTCCCCGTTCCGCTCACTCACTGCAGGTCGATGCAGGGCTCCCTGCCAGTCCCGTTCTCCACTCCGTTCGACAATTCCCACTCTCAGAGTTTTCGCGCGTCTCTCTCCCTGCTGTGCCATTTTGGACGCAGCAGTGGCAGCAGGAAATTCAAATCGCGGCTTCCGATGGTGTGGGATCCAGCTTCCGTGCTGAGATTTTTATCTGTTCCTGTTATAGCACTGGGATTGCGTTTCTAGTTGGTTTCTCTTAGCTTAGTTCAGTCCTGGGTTGACAGGGTATATCTCCCCTTGCTTAGGACTCCTCGCACCACCCCATTCCTGCTAATCGGGGTATCTCAGAGAGCCTCCATAGCTGCTGCAATCTACCACCATGTTCTCCCTGAAGTCTCTAGGGCAAGTTTAATATGAAGATTTATGAACTGTGATAAAATAGCCATAAGACATAAAGAGACGTTATATGATGCCTTGGAGCTGAGAAAGAGTCCCCAGGGAGGAATAATCTTGGAAACACCCTGTCAGAGCAGGTGAGAGGCATCACATGGAGCAAGAAGAGCACCCAGGCTTTCTGGCCACATGGCTCTGTACTTGCCACCATGTCACTCTTAATCTCAGACCAGCCTTCAGCATCAGTTTTAGATGGTTCCCACCTGCTGAATCACAGATACAAGTTGGCTGTCTGTTCCCACCATTGAGGCCTGGTTGCCTTTCTAGGACTTCCTGTCTCCATTCTTTCTGACTCCGTCTCTCCCTTGTCCATCTCCCAGTCAGGAACACACAAGGCTCTGACTTGCCAGTCTCACGCCATGCAGTTCCCACTGTAGACTGTAGCACCTGCACCATCAGTGCAAGCCAAGCCTCATCCCCACTGCTCCTGTCAACTAGGACCAAGTGGTAGTGAAGAGATTTGTGGAGGAGAAGACAGAGGAGGCCATGGGCTACAGACAGAGTCAGGATCCCTCCACCACAGGAAGCAGCTTCTGCCCTGCACCCGGCTTCCAGAACATTCCAGGTGTCCAACCAGGGCCCCAGCAGCTCCCTTATTCATCCACACTTCTTTCAGCCTGGGGATCCTCCAATCAACAGCAAGGTACTTCTGCCTGCTAATGGATAAGCAGCTGGGAACATCAGCACCACAGGCTGACACAGGCTGTGGTGGCAAGTCTCAGGTCATTTTGTTCTTCAGGGTGGTCTCTGACCTGGACCCCAAACTAGCTCTCATTTGCAATTTCCTGGGGTCAATTGGATCCCCAGCATATCCTCTGGAGAGTGCCAGTTGGGAGCACTAGTCTGGACACCGCCCAGGCTAGACTCCTAGGGCCAAGGCTGCAGAAGACGGGCACAGTCTAGGAATAGGCCAAGAGCATCAGCTAGTGTGTGCCCTCCACAGCCATCACATGGGACACCAGGGGGGCCTAAGAAACAGGCTTTTAAAAATTTTTATTTGGGATAGGATTTCATTAAGTTGCTGAATTGGCCAAGCTGGACTCAAACTTGCAATTCTTCTGCCTCAGCTTCCCAGAGCTGGAACTACAGTTGCCCCCCCTCCCCCGCAAGCACAGCTCTCCAGCACCTCTGGCTCTGAAGAAGGTGTGACTCAGCAGGAGTGATGAAGGAGGACAAGGCCAGTAGAAGCTCCTGGCACGTGCAAAGCCTGCAGGGTGTGTCTGAGTCACCTCTTGCACGTGGGTGAATTAGGCTAGGCTGGAGTTTGCATGTGGACTGTAGCCACCTGACTGCTTGTCCCTTAGCACCAAGAACACTGAGAAGATCCAGTGCTGGATCTGCCCAGCTCTTGTCATAGGATAACACTCCTGTCCACCTGGCTCACAAATCTGCAGACAGCTGGAGGGGAGTGGTAAGAGGGCTCTGGCCACTTGGAGGGCTGAGAGGTGCACAGTGTCCCACTCAGGAGCACAGCACAGCAGCTATGGCAGGGACACCTTTCCTGAGGCAAGGCTCCCTGCCAGCCCTCTGCCCTGCTACAGCCCTGGCTGCTGCTCCAGCCCATGCTCAGGCTTTGACCAATACAGCTGTTCTCTGGTAGTGGCACCAACGATCATGATCACAGTGGACTGTGACACTGGAATGTGACCTTGTGACCACAGTGAGACAGGGATTATGAGATTTGGGACAGCTCCTTCCATGTGGCTCCCAAGATGGCCCTTGTCCTGTACCTCCTATAGGTCAGTCAGCACCAGCAGGAAGCTCTGGCTCAGCCCATAAACAAGAACCAAGGCGTGTGTCTGTGACAGGACATCATGTCTCCTCCAGGATGTGAAGGAGAGGATGAGGCCGATCCATGGGCCATGAAGCTTCTGAGAAGGTAGATGCCCCCGAACCTAGAGAACGGCTAAGACCCAAGGAATGGTCCCTCTGGCCTCACCCCCACCACCTCTGCCCTGGCAGTGTGGCAGGAATGTGGCAGCCTGAGCCAGGTTGCTTGGAATGCATCCACTAGGGAGTGGAGCCTGACAAGGACCAGGTGATTTAGGAGCAGCCAGGGGGCTTTCTTCCCAGGTGGCAGCATTAGTACCAGGTAATAAATTAGTACCAAGAGAAAAGTAGTAAGCACCAGAGCTGAGGCCACTTACCTTCTGCCCACTGTGTCCAGCACAGTCCACACCTAGTACTAACAATTTTTTTTCAGGTTTGGGAGGCTGAGGCAGAAAGATTACAAGTTTAAGCCCAGCCTGGGTCATGTAGTTACCTCATGAGACCCTGTATCAAAATAAAAAAATAGAAAATAAAAGGCCGAGAATGTAGTTGGTGTGAAAGCCCTGGGTTCAATCCCAGTACAAAAAAAAAAAAAAAAATCAAACAGAAAACTCCAAAAGACAGGTAGAAGACACAGGTGAAGATCTTGTTCATGAACCGGAAAATAATTCAGTCATGCTAAGACACAGAACACAGCACAATGAAAAGATAGAATGTGTTAAAGGAAAGTTAAGAATATAGAACAGTGATTTGGATATTCTTATTTCCAAGTATGATGAATTCCAGAAAGAGACAATGAAGAGCAGATAATTTTTTAGAGCTTCAAAAAGTATACTGCTGCTCATCTAGAGTGGATGCATGCTGTTCTATAGAAAGTATACGTGGAGGACTTTGACAGGAGAGAGCATCAGCTCCTAGAGACAGAACAGAAGGACCTCAGGGCTGCAGCAGGGAGAGGGCAGGAAGCGACAGCTGAGTCAGTGCTATGGCTTGACATGGTGTGGATGCCTCCAAAGCTTCAGGTGTACCCAGTGTGAGTTATTAAGAAGGCAGAAGACTAAATCTGATCCCAGCATTTAAGGGGCTTTGGAGAACTGACTGAAACCAGATAGGATCTTTGGGTGGAACTTCCAAGATCAAAATCCCATGGCTTTATAAAGTTAGACCAGGAAGACAAGTGCACATACACATGTCTCCCTGCATCTTGCTATGTGCCAGCAAGAAAGCATCACCTGGTGGGGTTCCAGGAGGATTTTGTACCTCTGAATCATGAACCAAAATAAACATCTTTTCGTTATAAAGTAACCTGCTTCCACTATTGCCTTGTAGCAATGAAAAACAGACTAATACAATCAGAAAGCAGAAAAGTGGCAGGGGAAAAGCATAGCAAACAGAAAACAAATGATCTCAAGACCCAGACTTACTTTAAAACTCCCGCAAAGATGACTAGTTTGGAACCAAATGATGGTAATTCAAATGGAGAGGCAAGATACAGTCTTTACAGGTTCTCAGAAGCCTGGAGTTACCCTTGAATAATCTCAGCAAAGTTTAAGGAGCTGAAGAGGAGAGGGAAGATGAGGAGACAGAGACTCTGAGATGCCAGCAGGTGACAGGAAAAGCCAGAACAGGCTTTGGATACCAACCAGAGCCATATGATGGACAGACAAAGGGACCCCTAGGCCTTACTGCAGAGGCCTCAGCCCAGGTCCAGAGTGGGGGCCACATCGTAGGGGTGAGGAATGTGCCCCACAGTGAATCAGCAGAGCCAGCTCCCTATTGTCTAGTCCAGTGAGGCCCATCTCTGAGTCAGGATGACCAGGAAGACTCGTAAACCCAGCAAATCAGCCAAAGCCCATCTCAGAATCAACCCACATACCTCCCTTTGGCCCTGCCCAAACAGACAAAAGCTGCTGTCCTCTGCTTCCAGGAAGCCAGATACAGCCTGGTAATAAAGGAAGGGGCATTAGACACAGATTCAAGGTTCTAAAGTGGGAACTCTCAACTCCATGAGCACCAAGGATGATGACTGCAGGTACAGCAGGTGACAGTGGCCACAGCAGGTGACAGTGGCCACAGCAGGTGACAGTGGCCACAGCAGGAGACAGTGGCCATAGCAGGTGACAGTGGCCACAGCAGGAGTGCCCGTGTAAACTTCCACTGCTGGGCTGAGAAGCAGAGAGGTAGCAGCAGAACAGAGAAGGCAGAACAGGGAGCCAAGCTGCCCACCGCATGCCAGCCAAAAAGTGCTAGCTCCACCCCTCACTGCTCTGTCAGCAAGGGGTTGTGCACAGGTCCCAGGCCAGGCTGGGCAGGGGCCATAGCCAGGGCCCTGATTGCTCTCCTCCAGCTAGGATCCAGAACTAGGGTTGTGCTTGCTTTGTTTGTTTGTTTGTTTGTTTTGGAAATTGGGAATTAAATCCAGAGCATTGAGGTATATCCCCAGTCCTTTCTTATTTTTTATTTTGAGGCAGGGTCTTACTAAATTGCCTAGGCTGGATTTGAACTCCTGCTTCAGCCTCCTAGAGTGCTGAGACTACAGCAGAACAGTCCACCCACTTCTTGCTTGGCAAGCACTGGCTTTGAGCCCTGCAGCTCCACTCTGTCCTACAGTCCCGACTTGCACCTGATCAGGCCTCAGCCCTACCCCCAGTGTGCCGCCGCAGCAGAGCCAGCCGGAGGGCACGCTTCACGGTCTCTGCGTTGTTCAGGACAGTGTAGCGGTTCAGGGCCACCAGCCGGTCAAAGTCTTGGTGCTCATAGGTGAAATCCATCATTTTATAGGGGGTGTCTGGTCCATTGATGACAAAGTCCCCGAAGGCCTTCTCCACAGCTGTTTGCCGCTCCACACCTGCGAGGGGGGCAGGCTGGGGCACTCTGGAACTTCCCCAGGAGCTGACAGCCCTAGACTCCGCCCACCTCTCAGCTCTCAGGCCCATCTGGAGGAGAGGTCCCATATACACAACAAGGGCCAGCAAGTAGGGACAGTAAGTGACATTTAGTCAGCCCCATCCCCCACCCCAGAAGGCACGCTCTGGCACACCGTGCAGGGGTCCATGCCTGGAATAGCATCCCAGCACTCCCAGCCCAGCCCTTGCAGGTCAGACCCAGGCCAGGGCTTCCCTCACCTGGGGCCAGGTGTGTGCGGAAGGTGCGGTTGACAAGCGGGAAGTGCAGCACGATGGGTGCCTGGGGGTCTTCGGCCTCAGCAAACAGGTAGCACTCTCTTGGCTCTGCCAGGTCCTCAGGGCCCACCACAATCCTGGGGAAGGGGATTCCTCGGTCCAGGCAGTACTTCTCGGTCATCTGTAAGTCCTGGGCAGAGATGAGAGCTGCTGACCTGCCTGCTCCCACCCTGGACGCTCACAGCCTGGCCTTATGCCAGCTCTGCCTCTGCATAGCTGGACGGCTGTGGACAAGTAACACTGCCCTTCCTGGCCACACCCCTCATTCATCAAACACAAATAACTGACTAGTCAGACATAGGAGATTGCCATAACCAGAAATGGCCGATCATCAATACCCCAGAGCCTCTGGCATTGCCACCCCTCCCCCTGATACAGCCTTCCCTTCTCTGACTCCTCCCTGCTCCTTGTTGGGGGCCAATGGCAATTTCATGTGGTTGACACTGTGGTTGCAAAGTCAGCGCTGGACAAGACTTCTTCAGCCCTCCAATCCCAGGTGGTCACTGTACCCAGGTGGACCAGGAGAATAGAGGAAGGGCTGGTCCAGCAGCATGACCAGAATCCACATCTGGAGTGGCACTGGTCACTGCCTGACAGAGCTGAAGAGAGTCACTACTGAAGTCACCTGAGGGAAACCCATGACCCTACTGTTACCATAGTAACAAAGGACAGCAGGCCCAGATGAGATGGAGAATCCCATTACAAACGGGCAGATGTGGAAGAGCGGCCAGAAGATGTGAAAGGACTGGCCTCCTATGCCTACTTCCACCCGTTGGCCCAGAAACTCTCAGAGACCTGGATTGGCAACCGCAACCAAAGGTACCAGCCACTGAGCAGAATCCAGGTCAGCCAGAAGAGTGACCCCAAACACTAAGCCTGGCCCTCTGCTGGGTCCTCTTTTCTTCCCTCCTCCATTCAGTTTAGGACCTCAGTCCTTGCCCAACTGTACCTCAAAAGGAGCTTCCAGGGAGTAGCTGAAAGACAGAATGAGGTCCACCGACCGCTGGGGCAGCAGGATCAATGGGAAGGGAGAGTTGATGTGAAAGCCTCCGTCCACCAGGCACAGGCAGTCCCACATGGGTGTGAGCTGGTTGGGGAGGCTGTCTGGGTGTGTGTCTGCAAGGTATGAGACAGCTGCTCTGGCTCTGTGCGCCCTCTGCGTTCTCCCCACAGACCTCGCCTTCTCTTTCTCTGACAACCTAGGCAATCCCACCTTCCAGCACAGGGACAGAGTACCCCATCACAGGCCCCCATCCCCACTGCAGACAGCACCCTTCACAGGCACATGCACAGCAGTGCTGGCCCCAGCCAAAGGACACTGTCACTTCACACCCCAGGCAGACCTTTCCTGGCCATGAAGTCCCTGCAGGCCGCGTAGTCCTTGTGCAGGTAGAGGCCCCGCATGAAGTTAAAGTTCTGGGAGAAAGTAAAGCGGGAGGTGAATATGTCCAGCACCACCTGTGAGAAGGGCCCCTGTGGGGTGAAGAGCCTGGTGCGCAGGCGAGAGGGGTCGTAGAGCTGGGACCGTGGGCACTCTAGGTGGAATGGGAGTGAAAAACAGTGAGCGGTGATGCCCTCCTTTGTCCAGAGCAGCTGGACCGCTCAGGGCAGCCTCCTCCCCCACACTGCGTACCCTTCCTGCCCCTCCTCCCTCAGACCTCAACTACTGCTTCACGTATTCTTTTTTTTTTTTTTTTAATATTAAGACTATAGAAGCTGAACATGGTGGTACACACCTGTAATCCCAGCACTCGGGAGACTAAGGCAGGAGGATTATATATTCCAGGCCAGCTAGGCAACACAGTTAGTTTAAGGCTGGCCTAAGACACACACCAAGAGCCCGTCTCAGAATCCCAAGAAAGAGAAAAGTAAAAAAAGAAAGAGAAAGAAGAGGGAAATGAAAAGAAAAATAGGAAAGAAAAAGAACTAAGATGTTTCTTCCTTCAAACAGAAGTTGCTCAAAAGACTTGCTATTTTGGTGGGTTCTGAACTTACAAAGCTACTACAGTTTAATCAACTACAGTAGGATAGTTAATTATATGAAAGTACTGTTAAAATTTTTAGATTTGCTAATGGTGGTGTAGTTTTCTATGCACTTGGCACAGAATTCCTTTCAAAGTACTTGTCATGCTTTGGAAGTCGCCTATGATGCTGTTCATTGGCAAACTGCTCTCCCTTCCTTTTGTTGCATATAAAACTTGAGGGGTACACAGGCTGATGGGGCCTGACCCAGCCTTGCAGCTGGCAGCCTACTTGGAAAGGGGGAGGATGTTCATACATCTAGAATAACATATCATAACAGCACGAGGGTGGCATGCAGTCCTCAGGGCCCACGGGGGTTGAGTCCCAGCTAGCATAGACGGGAAAGCAGAAGTGACAGAAAGCTGAGTCTTACGGGTGGAGTGAAAGTTACCAGGAAAGGAAGGTGGGATGGGCATGCTGGGCAGCTGGCCTCTCATAGGTCTCTCGAGGGCTAGGCTGAAGGGTGACCATGAATGGACTGTGAACATCTAGAGGCCTTGGCCAAATGATCTAAGGAGGCACAGTGGAGAACTTGGATGCGGGCCTCTGTTGCCCCAAGCTTTCGGATACTCTAGCTAGAGTTTCCTTCCTGAGCGCAAGTGAAGAGCTAAGTCCTTCACGAGCCCCTCTCCTATCCTTCCTCTCTCTGTCAGGACCCTAGTGTTAGCAAGTGAGGGAGATGTTGGGGCTGGACCCTCACCTGTGATGTTCACACTGCCTCTGTGCCAGTCCAGGAAGCCCAGGCCCGAGCCACCAATCTTCAGGAAGATCTCATCCAGGCTGGCTGCGAAAGCACTGCTCCACATACCTAGGCAGACAGGCAGAGGCCTCCACATCAGGGCCTGGCCACGGCTCCTCCTATCCCTGCCTTCGGGTCTACACTCACCTTGCAGGTAGCAGATGCGGGGCTCAGGCCTGAGCTGCACCAGTCGCCCCATGAAGAACTCAGAGCCGAAGAGCTCAGTGGGAATGTAAGCTCCATATTTGGGGAAGCCGACCTCATAAGGGGTGAATTCGCACCACTCTGAGGGCCCAAGTGAAGGCAAAATCACTAAAGGTTTCCCACCAGGGACCTCCTGCCGGAGCAGGAAACTTGCCTTGCCAAGGACAGGAAGCAGCATCCCACTATGCACCAAGGCAACTCCACCTGGACCCCAGGCTCTGACCTCATCCAACCTGCCAACAATCCCAAGTGCTCCTTCCTTGTCTCCACACCAGGTACCTGCAAAATCTTCCGCATTCATGTTGGTGTGGACGTTGATGCCGGCGTAGATGGGGTAAGGGTTTTGACCCTGGATAACTGCCTCCTGCTGGTCGGACAGCTTGGCAGGGTTTTCCTGGGCAGGAGAAAAGGGAGGCAGTGTGGACTTTTAGGAATACCTCTGCCCCATCCTTGAGATCTTAAGTCAGGACCCTGCAGGATGTGGTGAGCCCACAGGAGAGAGCTTGAGTTGTCAAGGCCAGGGCTGTGCGGACAGCTCCAAGGGACAAGTTGTATCAGGGTACAGCCACTGGGTTTTTACAGTTCTAGGGCCCCTAGGGACACCCTCCCCTCATTTTTTATTCAAGAGAGCATATCAGAAGGCACAGACGGACATATAAAAGGAATCCTTGAAAATCTGGCCTAACTTATCTAAGAAAATGTAGCTTCTTTACTTAGAAATGAGAAGTCATTGGTGACTCACACAATTGAGAGCCAGTAGGTCCCCAGCTCTGAACCCTGCTGCGAAGGACAGGCTGGGCCTGCATTTCTACAAACAGCCACTGGGTGGCGTGAGTCAGGGTAGTGCTGGTCAGTGAGACCAACAGACAGCGTTCTCTGGAAGGAGAGTTCAGGCGTGGGTGTTTTTGATAGCAGGGAGAGGAAAGGATGGGGAAGAAAAGAGAATCAAGATAGAATACATATGTGCACCAGTGTCCCATGTTGAACGTACTTATGTAACACGAACATATCCCAATGTTAAAAAGGGGAGAGAAAAACATGAAAAGCTGTGCAGGAAATCTCACTATGCAGAAAGCTGAGAACTGTGGACCGGGTCTTCTCATTAGAGTTCAGAGCCCAAAAGGCAAAGTGGTGCTAGCCCACTCTGGTATCTCCCCTTTTTCCAGGGAGCTCAGCCCTCCAGGGAAGATCTGACTTTAGCCTGAGGAATGAGGCAGAAATGGGAGCTGGCGCAGTGAAAAGGGTAGAGAGAGTTACTTCTGCTCATCTCTCACCTCCTGGTTCAGAAAATACTCAATGAAGAGGCCCCATAAGTCAGTGAAGGACACGCTGCTCTCCCTCTCCCGGGCCACCAGCTCCTGAGCGTAGTATTGCAGCTGCTCCATGGACACTGCTCCCATCTTACTGCTGCAGACCCGAGCCCGCGCATGCGCAATGGGGCCCTGCAAAGCCACGCGGGACCAGGCTGGATCCTTGTAGAGCGTGGACATGCACCTGGATGTGGAAGAGGTACCTGGGTTGGGGCAGGGGAGTACGGCCAAAAGAGTGAGGGGCACAGGAGGCTGAGGGATTCGCCACACACACTTGCATTTGCTGCCCCAAAAGCCCTCTCCTAACCCAGCTCCACCTCAAAGATTCCATCAGCTCTCCAGATCACACCCCTCATCCTGCAGGACTGGCTTTCACTCTGCACCCCACCCCACTTACCAAGTGGACCCAGAGACCCCGCTCAGGTAGGTCACAGCATCCAGGAGGCCAAGCTCCTGCAGCCCTGCCAGGCTGCCGTATAGGGAAGTCATGGCTCGGGTTCCACCCCCAGAGCCCAGCACAGCCACCACTGGAACCTGTACACAGTAATGACAGCCACTCCACACTTGTACAATATTGCCCATCCCTGCCAGACATTATTACAAGAACCTTACAGGTATTATCTGATTGAATCCTCATGGCAATCTGATAAGACCCCTTATTTTACAGATCAGGAAACTGAGGCATGGGATATAATGTACTCAAGATCAGAATGTTAGTAAAAGATGTGCTGTCAAGCACACACCATATAGCTCCAGAGCTGGCTCTTAACCAGGGTTCCAAGATGATGTACTTGATTCAGCAAAAACCCCTTATTTTGGTTTATCCGGGTACTTTGGACTGGATCATTTGGGAGGCACTGTCCTGTGTGTGGCAGGAAATTTAGCAATGCTACTGGCCTTTGCTCAGTAGGTGCCTGTAGCACCTGCTACCCCAGCTGTCAAATAAAATACATCTCTTCTCAGCGGCATAAGCGCCTGCCTTGCAAGCAGGCAGTCATGAATTCGATCCCTGGTACCAATAAAAAGGAAAAAGACCAAAAAAAAATCTCTAGATGTGGACAAATATCCCCTGGGGGAGAGGGGGACAAAACTGCCCCAGTTGAGAACCATTGAGCTAAATGAAAAGCAGTAAGCAACCCAGACCTGCCCCTAGACATGTGAGGCATCCAAAAGTTGGGGGTCCTCCTCAGGGTTAGAGGAGCCTAATAGGACCATACTGAAAGGCTCGTAGCTGGTCAGCTTTCCCACAGATAGTTGCCTCGTTCCACCCCAACTTTTGGGTCCTTTCCTCTTCCTCTTTATTCTGTATTAAAGAATGCTTGCTGGGGGCTCTGCTGTTTCACAGTGCTGAACGAGACAGCAAGTGTCCAGCAGCACAGCCATACATGGTGACTGGATGAGCAGTCCAGGCTTGTCAGCGTGTGGTTGCTGGTCACAGGTTCCATCTCCTGATCTCCTGAGTACATGTGTCACCAGGTGGAGGCCACCAACTTTCTCCTGGCATCCCACAGGTATACCTCTGTGCATCTTCTCCTCCCATCTCCTGGCCACAGACTGACCATGTTTTTACACAGGGATCCCATCTACTTCTAAATCCCTTTGGCCATGGTTAGGGACCAAAACTCATTATAATGAAATAATAAAAGTCAGGATCTATCACAAAGTAGGGCCTCAATCTGGTAAGACCAGTGTCCTTATAAGAAGAGAGACACCAGTGAACTCTTTTTTCCTCTCCTCACATCTGCAGACATGAGGAAAAGCCAAGGCGAGATTATAGTGGGAAGGTGCCATTGACAAGCCAGGAAGAGAGATCTCATGGAAACCCACTCTGCTGGCACCATGACCTTGGGTTTTCAGCCTCCAGACTGGGGAAAAAAATCAATGTCTACTGTTGACAGCACCTAGTCTATGGTATTTTTTAATGGCGGCCCAGGCTAAGACACCTGCCCCTTGGCCAGAGCTGTGGAGCCCCCCTTCCATACAGGGTCCTGACTCTCCTCATCATGCCTCAAACAGATCTGCTCCCTTCCTACTATTCTCCTTTTCCTGCTTCCTGTCACCTGATGTCACACAAGTCCCCTCTGTCCACACAAGGGGACAAGCTGGATTTACTCCCAGCAACCTCAAGACCCAGCTCCTCCTCCATTCCATACCTGGTCAGAGTGAGGAGCCTCGCTCAATCCCAGCACCTGCTGCAGGGCCTTGGCTACCACCGCCTTCCTCTTGTCCAGGAACTCTTGCTCACCATTACAGAGGTCAAAGCCAAGGCGCAGGTCCAGGTCCCCAGAGCTGCCTCAGAGGGACAGGGTGGAGGACTAGGTGACTATTCGGTAGAGGGGAACCTCAGCCCCGCTCCATTTTCACAGGGGCAGACCCCACTCTGTGGACTCTCCACAGAAATGGGGAGGGAAAGGAACCTCCACGGCTCGAGGCAGCGGGAGTTGGTGGGGGCAGAGTGCACCTCCAGCCCAACCCCCAGAGACTGGAACCCCACCTCACCTCATTTCTGCCTTCACACTCAGAGTCACCTCCTGGTCCTGAAAGAGAGAGCAGCCCCATTCCTGGCATGCAGAGCTGGATCCTTTAAGGGAAACTGCCTCCTGCCCATGGCCCCTACTGCTCTGCACCTGTGGCCGGATGGCTGACCCACTAGTAGCCTAACCCTGTGCACCCCATACCTCTCTTGATGGTCACTTGTTAGGCAGGGGTCCCTGGCCCACAGACAAAGCCTTACCTCCCCCAGGACCATGATGCGCTGCTCTTCTTGGCCAAGGGGCAGAGAGGAAAGCAGGATGCCGCCCTCACCCAGCTTGCTGGTCTGAGCCTCTAGCTCAGCACTTGGGTCACTCTGCAGAGAAGGCCCCCAAAGGAGCAACCCAAAGTAGAAGAAAATGTACCTCTGGGGGCTCTCTGGGCTGGGCTGCCTCCATCATCCCTCCCTTGGCCTTGGTGCTCACCTGTAGAACCCTGAGCTTCTCCTTCAGGTCCACGTCTAGCCTGGAGTTCAGCACAGGATTCACATGGAAGGTGAAGGTGCGGGGAGGGCCTGGCTCCGGGGGCGGCTGCAGGGGCAAGACCTGTGGCTTCTCATAGGCCCCAGGCACCGCCAGGTGGACCTGCCTGGAGCCTGAGGGCAGGAGGTCCAGGAGAGGAGTGAAAATGAGGTCTGTGTGGGGCTCAAGACAGCAGCACCGGCACACCAACAGCTCCTGCCTTCTCTTCTTCCACAGGAACCAACTGCTCTCATCTCCCTACTCACCCTCAGCCCTCAGCCCACGGGAAACCACTGGGAAGGGTTCTTGGGGTCAGAAATGAGGAGTGGGGGGAGGGTAGGAAATGCACAAATATCTAGGAAAGGACACAGGCAGGTAGGAGCTGTTCCATAGCCTATGGGTCTGGTGATTTTGAAGTATTATATCAATGTATAATATAGAATTATGTGCAATTATTCATCTATTCATTATATTAATTACCAGTTTTCAGCTGGCAGTTTCCCCTATTTCTCTCCTCCATTCAAGCTCTGTGCTTATTTCCCCGGGGGCGGGGGGGGGGGGCGGTTTATGGCCAGAAAGAAAAGAGAAATGTTTTCTAATTGAAGAAGACATCAAGAGAATGTAGGAGGGGCCAGGGATTTAGCTCAGCAGCACAGCACCTGATTGGTAAGTGCAAGGTCAAGAGTTCAAACCTCGCTGGGGGTGTGGTGGCTCATGCCTGTGATCCCAGCACTCGGGAGGCTGAGGTGGGAGGATTCAAGACCAGCCTGGGTTACAAAGTGAGCACAAGGCCAGCCTACATAGGGAGACCCTGTCTCAAAAAGACAAAAAAAAAAAAAAAAAGAGTTCAAACCTCAGGAAAAAAAAAAAAAGAGAGAGAGAGAGAACATAGGGAGTTAGCAGAGACGGTCAAAGGCAGCATGGGACCCGTGGGTGCAGAGAGAATTCCTTAGATAACAAGGCAAGGGCCAGTCCCAACTACAAGGTGATATACATACTGGGGAGAAGCAAGAAACTAAACTAGGCCTGTGTGCTGGTAAGGAATAGAGGGCATCTTGCCCTGCTTCCTAGCAGGTTTTGGGGGCAGGACAAGCCCCCAAGAGAAAAGGCTGCACATGAAATCTAGGCAAAGGGGACCACAGACAGCCTCGTAGAAGAGTCTCAGGCTCCAAACACAGCACAGGAACAAGTGATACAAAAGGCCGGTGAGTGGCAGACTCCTCTGGGGGAGATCTTGACAGAGTCCCAGTCCCTCCCGCTGCTCTTCCTCCTCACACTAGATGAGACCAGAGACTTGACAAAAGCCTGGGGTAGGGGAGTGGAGCAGGTCAGGCATGTGGTGTTTCATTTGTACCAAGTCACATGGACTGAGAAGGAGACACACTGCGTGCACAGGAGGGAATCAAACACTGGGTAAGAAGGCAGCCTCAGGCTGTTCCACTTGGGCTTGGTCCTGGCCCCCCACTTAGGTTCTTCTTGGGACCTTAGTTTATGAAGGGAAAGATTAGTGATTGCATCTACCCTAAGGGACTGCTGGAGGTTACAAGCTCAAACAAATGCAGAGCATTTACACAGTGCTCCATGCCATTTGGGTGGTGCTCATCCCATAGAAAGGGACCTTGGCCTTCTCATGGCTTTGGCTTCACTTCCACATTCAAGTCCTTTTGCCTGAGCAGTTACCTTTGATGGCAGGCTGCACTGATGGCCCTAGTTCCTCACTTCCTTCACTCGGGATCCCATGCTCAGCTGAGTGACCCTGGTTGTCCCACTAAAGAGGTTGTGTCCTCCAACTTGGAGTTCAATCATGTGACTTCCTTGGGCCAATAACATATTAATGGCCAGGACATGAACAAATGGCTTGCGCCATTGGGTTTGCTCTCTTGCATCAGTTTGGAGGCCTTAAGAATATGCCCACGCTAGACTGCTGTTGGCCAAGTGGGCTGCCTGGAGCAGAGCCAGACCCACCCCTGCCAAGCCCAGTCTTAACCAACCAAACCCTGGCTGACTGCCAGATGTATGTGCAAAATAAGTGCTTCTTCCTGCATGCCACAGGGTTTGTGGAGCTATAGTTGGAAAAGTGCAGTCTGCCCTTGAATACTCCGAGGACAGGAAATTCCCTACTTACAATCCTTTCTGTCTTGGTCAGCTCTGAGCAGTGAAAGAGTTGAGCATGTCCTCCCCAGTGTCACCTCTACATCATAGCTCCCAACACATCCTCACAGCCCCAGCCCCAGGAGAGATGGCAAGACCAAGGCCCTGAGCAGCTCACCGTACTCTCGTTGTGGAACAGTCCCGTCTGCCTTGAGAGTGCCATGGATTCTCAGACAGGGCTGAGCCTGAGGAAAGCAGAAGCTTTGAGAGCCATCCAGCCCACAAGGCCCTCTGCAGGGTCCAGACCAGGATGGAGGGAAGAAGGAAGAAGCAGAAACAACCATTCCTGGTCCTGGCCCTTGTGGTCACACCAAGGTTGTATCCTGCTCCCCTCCAGGCCTTGGAGGAAGTGGCCCTAGTGGGTAAGGGAAATGTGAGACCCTGGTAGGGGCTGCTTTGGCAGCCAAGGCAGCCTACATCCAGAGGGAATAAAGTGCTGCACACCAGGTCAGAAGCTTGGGGACTGAACAGTGCAGCCAGTGTCAAGGCAGCTTATGGCTCTGCATCTCCCTAGTTGCCCTTCTGAGCAGGGCTGTGTCCTTTAGAGGCAAAGTTGCATCATGGACTTGGTCAGGGACTACTCCCTTCTCCGACCCCAGACCACCCAAGTGCATCTTCCCCACTCACCACCAGGACTCCATTGGTGATGACCTCAGGTGCAGGCACCTGGCTGCAAAGAAGGAGGGGCTCATGGGCCATCAGGCTCCCTTGCTGTGATCCCAATAATGTGACCAAAGCCATTGGAAGAGCCTGGAAGCATGGTGGGGCTGGGGCTGGGGGCTGTTGGTTGACATGCAAATGGTCGAGCAAACCATGTTGTCTCCTCTGAGGCGAGGCCTCCAAGACCAGCATGGGACATGGTGACTGACAGATGGGAACAGCTGGGACACAAGAACAAATGGGAAGGCATTGACCTGCATGGTCTCACCTCTCCTCCAGAATAAACTCCACTTGAAGCTCTTGTGAGTCCTACATGGGGTGTGGGGGTGGGTAAAGAACGTTGGTGTTTTAAAGGCTCCTAAGGTCCCAGGAACTGTCCCTGATCTAACTACTCCTAAACTTCAAGGACTGGAAGAGGCGATGCTGTGGCTTAAACATGGGCACATAGTACAATGGCACTTTTATGCAGAGCTTTGTTCATTTAGAAATGCGAGCCAGGCACTGTTCTAGACACAGGATTCAGAAGGACCAAGGCAGATGGAACCCGGTGCCCTCCATGAGCCTATGTTTGGTTTCACGTGGGGCAGTGATGTTTGAGGGAAAGTGTTACAGGGTTAGTACTGCAGGATGGAACAGTTATGGCAACTTGTCCTGTGGATGTACCCCAGCCCTGTTGGTGACCCTGGGCTGGCCTCTCCACTAGCGTGGCCTGTACCAGTACAGGCAGGCTCACCTGCTGGTTCAGTGAGAAGGTGTGTCTATGGGGCTGGCCAGGCTTGAGACTCCTTAGGTCAAACAGGAGCAGAGAGAGCTGGTCACTGCTTAGGACATCCTTGTCGAAGAGAGTGAGCTCCAGGACATTCTGGGAGCAGAGCAGCAGGAGGTCAGCACTCTAGGGGGGCTCTCTCTCCCCCACGGTCAGGTCCCTTGCTGGCTCTCACCTTCACAGCACCATGGATCTGGTAGCAGAAGGTCTCATTCCACTCAGGGTCACTGCAGTTAGCCACCGTCCTTGTCTGGGTGGGGCTGGGCGATGCTGTGGGCAGGGACAACTGTACGTAGCAGTCAGCTTTGGACACTGCAGGGACAGGGGTGGTGGGGGTGGATCAGTTGTAAGCCTAAATGCTAAAAAGGTTTCCTGGAGGAGGAAGGGCAGAGGGGAAGGAGCAGCCCAGTGAGGAGATTGCCCAAGCAACATGGTGGGTGGAGGACAGCCTTGGTGTCCTTGGTTCCATCTTGACCATTTGTACCTCCCACACAACAGAGCAGAAATACTGCAGTGGCCAGTTGCCAGTGGCCAGTTGTGGCCGCAGTAATTACCAGAAACTGCCTGAGGCAATAAAACCTTAGCCTCCATGGCAGCATCAGCCTAGCAAGCTCCTGGAAAGCAGACACAAGCTTATGACCACTGGCTTTACACATACATACTTGTGCCTCCTAGGTCCCCTCTCAAGGTCAGCACTGGTCCTCCACCCATTCCAAATGTGTGCACACACATCCTAAGCAGAGTTCTGGCAAGGCCTTAGGGAAAATGAGGGGAGAATATAAAAAGAGGGTCACTCACTTAGGTCTGTACCCTGGATGTTTCTGGCTCTCAGCACCTTCACCTGGAGGTCATAATATGGGTGGGCTTCCCGCTGCAACAAAACACCAGGCACTGAGTTCTAGGAAGCTGGGGATGAAGTCTTGTCTCCTCTTCTAGGGGTTCTCAGTCCTGAGTTCCTTGTTTTTCCATGCCTGAACTCATGTCTAAGCTCTACCATGAGCTATCTGAACCAATCATGGTTATCACGACCATAAATCTCAGCTCCAGGGGTAATAGCCAGAGAGCCGGGGTAATGTGTTTAAAGACATTAAACAATAAAGCTGTGACACACCACATCCAATCAGCTCCCTGACTGGCACTGGAAAGTGCACAGGAGGCAGCCACTGGGGGAAGGGAAGCCAGGAGTCACCAGCTTATACTGGTCTGACGAGTCATTAAGGAGACTGCAGCTAGGACTCAAGCGAGCTAGATAACAGTGGAGCACAGTCGCCTGGGAGTGAGACTCCCCTCACCACCTGCAAGCTCCTATTACTTCTCCCCACAGTGGGTTCTACAGCCAGGCTAGAACAGTCCTCAAAAACTCAGCCAATGGAAGGTGAGTGTCACATGACTTGTTCTCCATATCTTATTTGGGGTGAGTGGTATTCTTTTCAAGAGCCAAACCACTGGCCAATATCTCTAACTTAAGCTCTGCCAGGTCCTCTGAAGAAAACAGATCCCACTATCTGGGGGTGGGCTCCATCCTCACAGGGGACCTCAGCTCCCAGGACTGTCCAGTCCACATTTCCCAGTTGACATCAGTCCCTTACCTGCCAGTGCTTCCACTGAGATCCCCCCTTCTCTCTTCTCTGCAGCATCACTGCCCCTAGGAGGGGCAGCCCTTTGCCTGCCAGCCACTTTGCCCAGAGGTTCCCAAGCATGGCTGGCAATGTAGTTCCTAACAGAGAGCCTTTCTGCTCTCCAGGGCTGCCAGCTCTTGGGCTACACTCACTGCAACTCAGGTCTGACAGGTAGCACTAGGATGGGGAAGGTGGAGCAACCAGGGTCTGGAGGTGGGGTTTGATACTCTCCAGGAAGTAGCTAGAGCCTGATTTCTTCAGGCAGAAGGCAGTTCAAGCCCTCTGCAAGACTCTTGGAATCTCCAGTTAGTACTCTGGTTCCTGAACCCAGCCCTTGGATACATGAGGAACAGGTATCTGAGAGCTTTACTCTTTACCTAGCACAGTCCTATTTGTTGGGTTGGGATAGAGTCCAGGTAATCCTATTTCCAGCCAGGAAGTGCTATAGCAGGGACTGCTGCTATAGCAGCTGCTCCCAAGGTCTAAAACTAACCTTTCAGTCTCAGTGTCTGGGACAAGGATTCATCTGGACTAGAAGATGTTTCCTGTCTCTATTGGCCTTTCTCATTTATCCCCCAAACACTGAGCACCTGCTACATGTTGGGCCTGTACTCTACACTAATTTGCAAAGGTGGGTCATATCTATTGTGTAGACCAGTGGTAGTGAACCTATGGCATGCTGCAGTGGGCTGTTTGTTACCATTGAAAGCTCTAGAAGATTCAGCATCACTGGTATAGACCTTTATGCATCATGATTCCCTGTGGGTCTCACTCCGTCCTCTTTGTGGGTCAGTGGAAACACTAAAGTGGCTTGGGCACAGATATAGGGACATGATTAGGTGGTATAACAAGGGCAGTAAAAAGCAGACCTGCTTCTCCTTGAGGTACTAGAGATAAAGGCTTTCAAACCCTCTGGATCACTGTAAGCCTCACATTGGTTGTATGTGATGACTCCTCTGGACTATGATCATCTAGGCGACTAAGACAGGCAGTCTCCAGGGAGAGACAAGACTTCTGGGGCAGTGAAGAAGTCACTAGGGAGAAACATGTCTTCACCCAAGAACCAGTCATCTCCATTCTCTTCAAGACCTAGCATCAGAGGCTGAAAGACAACATCCCAAAAGACGATTCAACTCCAAAATGAATAAACTGGAGAAGTTCAGATAGAACCACAAGGGTGTAACTGTTAGCAGCCAAGACTCAAGGCAGAGCATTTCTGCTTAATTTGGTTTTTGTGTGGTGTCCAGTCCTCTGGTGGTCTCTGCAAATGCTATGGCGGGCATTCCTGGACCTGTAGCAGGAGGGCTAACTGGTGGAAGAACCGAGCTGGGTCCAGCTCCTGAGGGCCTAGAGGGCTTCTTGGATTGTGACTTAAGTCATCTGCCCTGTGCTTAATGAAGTCATGACTCATAGTGGCAGACGGTCTTGATTCCCAAGAAACCTCAGAAGAGTCACAGACAGCTCAAGAGTAGAATGGTAGAGACCACACTGCCTTTTGGAACTAGCAGAACAGACTTGTATTTTCCCACTTCTCCAATGTCCGTGGGTCCCTTACTCCTACCAACCCTATTTCCCTACATGCTGTTATGGTTTATATCTGGATGTTCCCCCAAAGCCTCATGCATTCATGGTTGGGGTTTCCAAGTTGTGATTGGATCATGGAGGCATATTCATCAGCAGATTAGTTACTGATGAGTTCATAGCTAACTGTGAGGGGAGGTAAAGCCCGGCCAAAGGTGGGTCCCTGGGGAGATGGCCTGGAAAGATCTATTTCTTAACTTTCTTTGATCTCACTCTCTGCTTCCCATTGCCCTGCCATGAGCTATTTCTCCTCTGCCATGTTTCCTGCCTTGCAGCCAGCAGACTATGAACTGAAACCTCCATAAATTGTGAACCAAAATAAACCTCACTTCCTCTAAGTTGGGAGTGTCAGGCATTGTGTCCTGGCAAAGAGAAGGTAAGATACACGCTCTCCCAGCCATCACAGCCACAGGAGCACAAGAGGCCCTGTTGTGTGAAGCGACAAGGGAGACAACCTGGATTATCCAGGACTTCCATGACAATGGAAATGTTCCCTACCTGTGCTGTTGACTCAGCCCACAACTTTGCCTGTCATACTACTCAGCAGAGACTGAACAGTGTTACGTGACTTTTTTCTTAGTCATTAGCTTATTCTCTATTCTTAGTGAAATTACTATTCTTTCATTACATTTTCATCAAAATCTGTGGAAGGGGGAAAAAAGGAGACTTATACAGACTCATCTTCTTACTTGGTCATGTTTATTATGAGTGTTAAGAAACCTCCATTAGTCCTCGCAATAGCGCGGTTGTCTCTCTGGGAAGGAAGGGTGGAGTTTGGGAAAACAGTGGAAAGGGAACAGTCTTTATTGTATGTTTTTTACTGTGTCAACCACAGGTCGCAAGAATGGAAGATACAGAGCAGCAGGCCAGGAAGGCAGGGAGGTTCTGGCCCTGCTGCAGGCCCATCAGGCGCTTCATGGAGGGTCACAGTCTGCTGGGGCCATAGCAGCACTGTTGCTCCTGGGTGGTGGTGGTACTGCTGCTCCAAATGCTGCTCATGTTCTCTCTTGGTCACTTTTGACCTCCATAAGAGCTTGCCTGAGCAGCCCGGTCCACTTGTGCCCGGTGAGTCAGCCCACAGCATGGCACAGTACGGTTTACCAAAGCCTCAGGATGTCAAGGCCAGGCCACTGGACAGCATCAGTGCTGGGAACCATCACCATCTTTATTGCCTTTAAAGGCACCAAAGCAGGAAGACTACAAGTGTACAAGAAGCTTGGGGAGGACAGGATGCAGGACCACATGTCCCACGTAGCCTGTGGTTCTAGGCCCCACCTGTGCACCACTGGCAGGTAGGGTCCCCACAGGCCCAGTGGAGCTGGGGGAGTTCCTATGTAGACCCACAGGCTCCTGCCCACCACCTGCATTGCTCTGTCATTCCTTGCCCCATCACAAAATCACATCACTATAGTTCCCGAGCTGATCATTCCCATTGTGCCAGAGATCTACCTTCTGGTGCCATCCTCCAATCCTCACAGAACAAAGCAAGGAGTGATGGCCAGGCCCTGCTGCAAGGCTAGAGGGCAAGACCCACAGTACAAAGCAAGGTATCCACAGCTCAGAAGACTCTGCTGCTACCTGCTAGGGCAGCTAGGGAGTGAGGCAGGAGGGGGTGCCTCCACAGGACCTTGTCAGAGGTCACAAAACTGTACTGTGCTGTGTCCCCAAGGGCAGGTGCCAAGGTCCTTTTCTGGGCACACAGTGGTGCTCCCCAAGCTTCTGGGCAGACAGTGCACAGCCAAAGGGACCTAGTCACAATGTACCTGGCCATTTCAGTGTGTTCCTGCAAATAAAGACTCCCTCGTTTCTCATTTGACCTCATTTAAATATTAGCTAACCCTTGTGTCCTCGAAGCGGAGGAGAGTCTGTGTGTCGCCATGAAGGAAGAGATAAAGGGGGTGGAGTGGGAAATAAATAGAAGTAAAAAGGAGAATGACAACTAAAGAGACAAGCAGGGAGTCTTTGGGGTACACAGGGCACACTGCTGTGGTGAAACCACTGGCATGACATAGACAACCGGCCACTTATTCTTTGTAGCTGGGGGGCTCTGGTACTATCCTCCCACGGGGCTCTCTAGACAGCCATGCTGAAGACTGTGAGACCACACACTCATCTTAACAGCAAACTCTCTGAACAACTTGGTGGCACGGACGTCTGGTCTCCTGTCCAGGCGGGTACGGATTCTCTGGACCTGCCCGCAACACAACGGTAGAAGGTGCAACTAATCTCTTTTTCTACTAAAAAGCTGACAACGCCAGATCATGAGTCTAATTAAGTCAGAGATGTTCCAGGGTGCAAGAAAGCCAGCAGTGTCAAAACGGGGTGACACCTGGTGGTGGCAGACCCTGATTCTTGGGCCGGCTGCTCCTTCACCTTTCTTGTATAGCCACGCCGTTTACTGCCGCATGCTTGGATGCTGGGCTCAGGTGTCAGCTGGGTTTACCTCTTTGGAACAGAAGTAGTGCACGACCACTCCATTGGGGTATCTTGCAAAAGCACTGTGGGGAGAGAAAAGGCTCAAGAGTGCGGGCAGTTGCATACTCTTTCCCCAGCTCTCGCAGAGACTTCACACCCAGGAACCACCCCAGAAGCAGTCCATCTGTTCCCAACGGACAGTTGCCCCAGGAGCCTGTGGGATCCTGGCCACCATTTCTGATAAGGAACTGAACAGAGGATGTGCTGCACAAAGCTCAAGTGTGGGAGGATACTTCTGTCTTCCCCGCCCTTCTAAGTACTGAACCCGGTACCCTAGGGGTGCTCTATCACTAAACTATATTCCCAGGCCTTTTTTTTTTTTTTTTTTTTTAAATGTTTTTAGCTTTTAAAATTATTTTTAAAGTTTTGACATAGGATCTCACTATATAACTCAGGTAGGCCCACATGCACACACACACACACACACACACACACACACACACACACACACACAAAGTGAAAACTCAGTCCTGGCTCACAGGAGGCTGATGATCCTCAAGACAATAAGCTTCAGGCTAATTCTAACAAAGGACAGTAGTTAGATCTTTGGAAAGGAAGGAGTCTTCTAGCCATTCAAAAAGAGATGAGCCAGTTCTTTGAGAGGAGGTTGCTGGAACATGTCTTAACACTATAAGATGCCAGCTCACGTGCTTGTTCCAGTTAGGAGATAGCAGGCTGAAACATCTCTTGTATCTTAAACCGTAGTCTTCCAGTAAAAAAAAAAAAGATCTCTTGTATCCCTTCAGAGACTCATCCTTAAGGACTTCCAGCCCACAAATGTCTCTCAGATACCACAGCTACATCGTTATTTCTAACTGCTAAAAGATCTCCTGGTGTGAGAATTCAAGAGTTCCACACCACACATGCCGTGTGTTTCAATTCTCAAAGCCACTGACAGACAACATGGCCTGCCCTCTTAATTGTTCAAGAAGCAGAGGTAGTCAAGACAGCCAGCAGCTGTGTCTTCCCCCGGGTGCTCTGGGTGCTGCCTGCCCCCAGGGAGCACCCATCACGCTCAGAGGCTGTGGGTGGAAGCAGCTCACCTGTTCCCAATCTTCTTCTTGCACACCATACACACCTTCTCCTCCGTGATGATGCACTTCACCTGCTGGTGCAGAATACGCTCTTCCTGCACCTGGAAGACAGTTTGGGGGAGAAGCTCCATGCCCATGTACACAACAGAAGGCACAGATTAGCATCACTTCCTCTCAGGGTCTAGGTTCTCCTTGTTGGAACTCCTCCAGTTAAATGTCAAGCTGGCCGCTGGGTCAGCCTGTGCTATACAGACCAGGTATGGAAAGCTCTGCCTTGCTGGGAACAGACCATGTGGAAACTGTCACACTATGAAAGAAAGCTGCCCTTGAGTCTGAAAGGCTCATACCCTCAGGAACTCCGCATGGAGGAGGTTCTTGAGCACTTGATTGAACCGTTTCTTTTGTGCATTTTCTTCCAACACCCTTTCTAGAAAGATGCGGATGTCATTGATCTGAGTGTTTGCTGGCAGGAGGTTGATGGCCTAAGGACAAGAACAGAAGTAGGGATGGGCTGAAGCAGTACAGGAGTGAGACCTGGAAAATACTGGAGGCCAAGAGCTCTCGGCCCCAGCCCTTTCCCTACTCCTCTTCTCATCCAGTGCCCCACAGCCTCCCTGAGGACTTCTATCTGACCTTGGTGGTGTCCAGTTTGCTATGATGCAGCTCAAGGACCTGCAGTGCAGCCTGGAGGTTGGCTTGTGGTTCCAGCAGCTCCAACTTCATTGGCCCAAGGCAGTGAATACTGGGGGGTGACAGGTACATCCGAAGCAGGGACAGATACACCTGTCTCACAGACACAAGTCACAGACATCAGGGGACAGGAACCTGGCCTGACTGAATGCACCTGAAGATTAGGGGAGTTGGTCTACAGCAATAGTGTCTGGGGAACACTGAACACTCATTTCCAACTTCTAAAATTTCAGTAAAGTCAAACAGACAAACAATTGCAAAAGCAGTAGTAAAGACTAGATTTCCAGCCCCCGCCCCACAGCAAATGGCTCACATTTGTCTAATTTTACACCACTTACAAAATGCTATTATTGCAAAATAACTGAAAAACGTTTCTCATTCTCTTTGGTTTTGAAAATTGAGACCCTGGCCATCTTTTGGCAGGCAAGGATTAACCCAAACTAGCACATCACATTTCTTCCTGGCTACAATAGTAGTGCCATTCAGTTTCTCTGCCTTGGTACTTAATTAGGGGCTGGGTAATTCTGTGGTTGGGGCTGTCCTGTACATTGTTCAGTAGCAACTCTGGCCTCTACTGGATTCTAGCAACACCCTGCCCCAAGTCATGACAATCACAAATATCTGAAGACATGGACACACACCTGAGGGTCAGACCTCTCAGATGTTCCTTCTCAATTGGCTGATCACATATATTTTTGTTTTTGTTATTTTTGGTGTTTTGAGACAGGATTTTGTTACGTATTTCAGGCTGGACTTGAACTTGCTATGTAGTCCGGGGTAGCTTTGAACTCACAGTGATCCTAGAGCTTTAGCTCCCAAGTGTTGGGATTACAGGCGTGCACTAGTATGCCTGGATAAAAAAAATTTTTGGGGGGAGACATGGTCTTGTTTCTCACTATGAAGTTTAGGCTGGCCTTGAACCCACAAAGATCCCTCTGACTTTGGCTCCCGAGTGCTGGGATTACAGGCATGCGCCACCAGGCCTGGCCCACATGAACTATACACAAACTTAAAGGTGACAGAGGTGCTGTTAAAAATCACATGGATGATGTTTAGGTTATATTGGTCTTGCTCTGTACTGTTTTGTTCAATTTTATTATACCTAACGATAAAGGCAATTCTTTTTAAGATAGCAAAAGGCATTATGGTAACCATTGTTGATTACCTTGTACTCTGTTTTTACATCATGTACTATGTCCATCCTCTGTTTTGACTGAATGCTTTGTTTTGTCATATTTGGTTTTATTCTCTTCCAAAAAAAAAAAAAAAGTAATAAGAACTATGGAAGTAATAAAACCCAAAATGTATAAATGTTGTTGTAAAAAAGAGAGGAAAAGAAAGTGCTCTAAAGGATACCACTGCAAGTGTGTTTAGGTATATTAGGATAGATGACCATATTACTAAGTTTTTGTTGGATCATTGAACACAACTGTTTGCAGTCTCACTGTTTGAATGTCCACTTTGTATGCTTTAATACTGAAACTTGAACAACTATTTCTAAGATGACAATATGTAATCTATTAACTAGTGATTTCTTACTGTTTTTTTTTTTTGAAATTCTGTATTACTTGTACCCTTATATTGTTTTGGTTTTTTTTTTTTCTCCTTTAAATAAAATTAAAAAAAAAATCACATGGATGACCATAGATGTAAACCAGAATTATCCCAAGCAAACCAGGACAGGACGTTGCTTCTCCCTCAAACATGCAAAACTCAGGGCGCTGTCATATGCCCTGTCTCCTTCAGCAATTAATGCTAGTACCATCCAAGGACACACTTAGGGGGTGAAGCTTGCTAAAGCGAGAGGAAAGGCACACATGCTCCCTTGGGCCGGGCCACTACTCACTCACATCTTTGTTGCCGTCTTTGTTTTGGTCATAATGTTTGTGGCAGTACCTGCAAGGGAAAAAATGGTCAACCTAGGTGAGGGGCTGACTCCATGTAGCCACCTGAAACACCTTAAGACAGCCAAAACCAGGGCGGGTATGGAAGACAGGCTGCGGTAGGGCGAGGAGCTGCCTTCTGAGCCTCCAGTGCTCCTCGGCTCCCTGGGGCTGCTGGGAGAGTGTCGGGCTGACTTACTCCTCCGCCATCCTCGTGTCCTTCAAGACATGCACATAGATGAAAAGAGCTTGTTCATGCTTCCCCATGCGCCCCAGCAGGAGTGCTCGCTCTTCTAAGAGGCCTAGGACGAAGAAGGAATAGAAGTCACTGTCACCACCACGATGAGGGTGGGGACTACACTGTTAGTGGACTGAACATAGGTATGGGGTGTGGGCTTAGTATGCTCAATTCACGGCACCAGAATAAAAATAATGAAACAAATTGAGAGTAAACAGGAGAAAATGACTACATTTTTTACAAGAGAAAGGCAGCTATTTTAGGAGGTACATATCCCACCTTTCTAATATCACTTATAAATGGTAACAATATTCATGCAATAGTCAAGTATGTAACAAGACCTACGCAAGTCAGATGCTCCAGGAAGGGAAATCAATATGTGGTCTCAAAGCTCAGAGCTCATATATTAGACAGACATGTCTTTTTTAGATGAATATGCCTGATTACAAAAACTACTAACTGATGAACACGGCCAAGAACATGCTCTGAAGCAAGGAACAGGTTCCAACATAGAGCTATCAATTAGCATGTGGTTCACATCCAGCAAAGAGACCTCGCCCAGCCAAGGTACAAAAGTGACTCTTCAGAGGTGCCAAAACAGGAGCTGGCCTGAAAACCTAGTTTTCCCAGACTCATCTCTGTGGAGGAATGGGGACCAGCAGAAAGGGAAAGACCAGCTTTTGCAGTACCTCAAACTTAGAGACTTCTAGTTTTAAGCCACACACTCACCATCAAAAGGAAAATCGCAGATGAGCCTTCCTGGATCATAGTAGCTGGAAATTTCCAAGAACATGAGCAGCTTTTGCCGGTATTCTCCCAGCTCCCCCTCTTCCTCTCCAGCAGAGACCAGGGCTTTGCCTGTCAGGGAAATCAAGTCAACATGAAAGGATGCTGGGGGCAGCGATGTGTAATCACCAAGAAAAATGAGGAGAGGGGGCTCAGGGCTGCTGCCACATGACCAGAAGGGCTTCGGAGGGGTTTCCAGGTGAAAATCTACTATGCGGTCTCTGTGGTCCCCGAACAGCAGCTTAGTTAAAAAGAGAGAAACACTGGCAGGTCGACCTGTTTCTTGTTTGCACGGCTGTCGTTTTACGGACAGACAGATGTTCCTTATGTCCACCCCTAAGGATGACTCTCAGAGTTGGCCAGACCCAGACAAGGCCATGTTCCCGAGTCTCATGCAGCTAGACCTGGGCCACCGGGTATCTGGCTCCTCTCAGGGACTTCTCGCTGCCCACACACACTGCACTGGCTCTGTCCTGCTCCAAGGTCAGGCCCGCTGGCTCTGGGGTGTACTGGTACCTGCAGGGCAGGACAGCAGGTACTCCTTCATCAGCCCTTGCACCTTCTCGCAGTATAGCTGGATCAGGCAGTTGTGGAAGCAAGAGCCCATCTCTTCCCAGACATGGATGATGTGCTCCTGGGGAAGAATGCAGGGCTGTCTGGCTGCTGCCCGCCCTGCTGTGATCCAGGCCCCGGGTCTCCCTCACATTTTTAAAGCCCCAAAGGTCCTATCTACATTATCCCTTAATGAAGCTGCCAATATCACCGAGGGCCAGGTCTTCTGAAACCACAGGATAATCTCACAATCCAACCCAGCAGTATCAGGAACTGTTTTCAATGTTCAATCTCAAATCCTTTTAATTTTGTCCTATAACCCTTCCAACTCTTGTCTTAGCCCATGTAATTATGGTTAAATGAGTATATTCTGGTACGTAAAATCTATGTGATTATCCTGTATGGTTACAGCAGAGTTAGGCTATATAAATATAACTAACTCTTCTCTAAAGTATTCTTTTATCCCTCTGTAGTTTACTACATTCTAAAGGTATCATTAACAGTAGCATTTCCATCTTGGTTTCTTAGGATCTTTTTCAGAGGAAGCTGAAATAACTCTTTTCCTTACATCTCCACTAGCCCCAAGTGACACAAACCCCAAATCTGAACTGCCTGATAACTGAATCACATAGTCCTGGATCCTGGGTTTAAAGTCTGTTAGTGCTCATCAAAAAAATATCTTACCAGATAAGGAACAGCCAGACTCTTAAAGTTCTCTATTAAGAAGGCAAGAACTTGATCTCGGGGCAGAGCTTCCACCTCTGGAAGATCTTCAGTAAATATCTGTCAGAACACACCTGAGTGATTCTGTTGAGCCCACACATGCACGCACAGGGATTAGATGGGCAGTCATGGAGGGAATGGTGCAGGAGATATAGCCATAGCTGCTTAGTGTGTAGAAACTGGGCCACAGGTCTCCCAGCCCCAGGGCAAGTTTACTCTGTTGTTTCTGCCTTCCCTTTCAAGCCCCAAGAAATGGCAGAAACCTAAACTAGAGCCCTTCCAGCAGCCACTGCTGTCCTAGGGACAATCAGGACCAAGCCTGAGGGGCTCTGCAACCCACCTTCAGGCCATCTTCTGGAAAGTCTCTCAGCACCCACATTGAGTAGGAAAAAATCAAATGCAGGTTTTCTGTGCCTAGAGGAAAAGCAAGACTTGTCAGCACTGGAAAGAATGAAACCTGTGGGGCCAGGGGTTTAGCTCAGTGGCATAAGCGCCTGCTTTGCAAGCTCGAGGTTGTAAGTTTGATACCTGGACGGGGGTGGGGGGTGGGGGATGGGGAGAATATGAAACTTGTCTAATAGAACCAGGAAGGCAAAAGTCCAGATGGCTCCAGAACTCATGTCACAGACAAGATAGTCTGAATCAGCACTGGCCACTCGGGATGATCACATGCCAAGGGGGTATCAAGCCATTCTTGTGCCAGGCAGAGGAACGAAGTGGGGTGAGAACAATAGAGGGAGGGGACCAACCTACCATACAGAGCTATCCCTGCTGCTTCTCAGAGGTGACTTACCCAGGTGCTGCAGATACTGTACTGTCCTCTCATGGCCCTTTAGAGGGGAGTTTGCTTTCTTGGACTGGTCGACTAGCACCTGCAGAGCTGGCCACAGAGCCGAGAACAAGGTCATAAGCCTCCCCAGGGGAGATGCATCTTCTCTCAGGTTTTACACCAGCAGGCCAAGGACTCCCAGATCCCCAAAGCCCCTCCCCCGCACCTTTCTCGTGGAGCCCCTTCTTTTCATACAGGATTATCAGCTCGCTGTACTTGTGAGCCTTCTTAAGCACGTGCTCACTCTCCTCGATGTGGCAGTGATTATTCTCCAGGCGCAGCAAAGGGGCCACCAGGGCCACATTCGTCTAGGGATAGGTGTAGGGAGCAGGATGTCAGCAGAAACTGCTGCCTGGGGGAGCTCCACCCTTCCTAGTCCAGACCTGCTCTAGCTGAAGGCCAAAAATGTAACACAAGTACAAGAAAGCACACAACCCAGAGGGGAGGGTTACTAAAAAGAATCAAGGTGTGTTGTATACACAGACTAACTCCCCACGATGAATGTATTTTAATCATGTGCTGTGAATGTGTACAAATAAAAATAAAAATTTTTAAAAAGAAAAAAAAAAAGCAACCCTCCTCCCCACTTTTAAGACAGATAGTGGCTTTAAGAGCATAGGTGTCCTTCTATAAAACATGCCTCCATGTCCTATGGGGAGAAGGGTACACTTGCTGTGAGAAATTACTATCTCCACTGACCTTGTGGCACTAATCTTTTTGTTCCCTACAGTGCAGAATTTGCTCCACATCCTGGAGTTTCCGGGCCAGGGGACCCAAGGGCCCAGGTCACTCACATGGAGGTAGCACTTGAGCAGGGTGGTGTCAATGATCTGCAGCAACTTCTTCTTGGATTTGATGGTGGGCGTGCCTTCCATGAGCGGGGAGGTGCTGGACTGGTGGTCAGAGTCATTCAGCTTCTTCACCAGCTGACTTCGTTTCTGCAAAAGTCAAACACGCAGGGTCAAGGCCAGGACTCAGTCAGCTTTCTTCTGTTACCCTGAGCTACTGGATAACTCAGCCTTTTACACTGGGCTCAGCATGGTTGCCTATCAACCATGATTGCACATTAACATTCAGGTTTTCTCAGGGATCAAAACACATGGGTGCCAAATTGCCAGACACAATGATAGCACCAATGTATTTGTCTTTGAGATCAGTTTTTCTCTATTCTGTCCTTTTTTTTTTTTTTGAGACAGGTTCACTATATAATTCAGGCTGGCCTTGAACTTACTATCTAGCCCAGGCTGGCCTTGAACTTACTATGTAGTCCAGGCTGGCCTCAAATTTGCAGTGATCCTCCTGCCTCAGCCTCCTGAGTGCTGGGATTACAGGGCTGTGCCACCATACCCACTTGCCTATTCTAATTTATATAAATGGAATAAACCAGTTTACATTTTTTTTTTTTTTTTTTTTTTTTTTTTTGCATTTAGCAAAGCCCACAGTCTTAGGTGTTTTACTCTCCTGGGCACAATTCTGCTGTTGGTTAACTTTACACATTCTGAGTATCAGTGCAGAAGATCAGAAAAGAGTGCGCACTTATGAGGAGAGGGTATCCTTTTTTTTTTTTTTTTTTTTTTTTTTTTTTTTTGTCTTTTTCGTTTTTATCGGTACCAGGGATCGAACTCATGACTGCCTGCTTACAAGGCAGGTGCTTATGCTGCTGAGCTAAATCCCCAGCCCCTGAGGAGAGGGTATCCTACAACACAGTAGGTCTTGGGGCAGATTACTCCCCAGGAACCTTTTACACTGGGCCCAGGGCTGTACAGTGTGCAGACAGACTCCTGGCAGCCTACCAACCAAAATTCGGTAGCCAGGAGGCCAATGTCAAACAGTTCCAAGCTTAAGTGTGTCCAGCAGACCTGCAGGCATACTGACCCAGACACAGGGAGTGGAAGACAGTACTATAATTTTTAAAGCAATACTTCTTGTGCCCACAGGAGACTTCTTAGAAAGATCCGCAGAACACATACAGAAAATATTCTGACTCTGAATGGGTACCCAGGAAGTAAACAAGAGCTTTGTGTAAGATATGTCATGCACAAGAATCTAATACTCCCAACCAATGCAAACATTATATATAAGCCATAACATATGCTAAGACAAACAGCATCAAAGGTAAGAAACAAGTGAATGGGGAACCAGAGGGGAAGGGAGTTTAAAAAAAAGCTTAATATATACATGTACCCACTCTCCATTTGTGATAAGTAAATCAATAAAAAGCACACAAAAGTAGTGGGACGTGGTGGTGCATGCCTGTAATCCCTGCACTCTGGGAAGCTGAGGCAGGAGAATCACAAGTTCAAGCCAAGCCTCAGCAATGCAGTAATTTAGTGAGTCCATGTTAAATTTAAAAGTTTAAAAAGGGAGTGAGGGCGGTGCACAGCTTAATGAAAAGCTGTGAATTCAATCCCCAGTACTGCAAAAAAAAAAAATAAATAAATACATAAAAACTGAAAATAAAAACAAAAGCTAACAAATAAATACACATAAAAGTCTAAGAGGACAACACAGCCCCAAAAGTAAACTATTAGTAAACTTACTACAATAAATAAACTATCAGTTATTTACTTCTGACAGCAGAGTTATACAGCAATTTGTACTTCTGTTTTGTACTTTTCTATGTTTTCACAGAGCTATTTTCCCCCGTAATTATATAAAATATTAAAAAGTTTATTTTAAAAACAGTTAGCTTTCGCCAGGGTTTTAGCTCAGCGGCTAAGTGCCTGCCTGACAAGCACAAGGTTGGGAGTTCAATTCTCAGCATCAAAACAAAAACAAAATCAAAAACAGAAACATTAACTCTCTTAGGAACTAAAGTGTACTTCTGGTAATTCCTATAATCACTTAGTATGAAATTACTAGGAATTCTGTAAGTTTCCTGGTGTCAGGATTTGGTAAAACAAGCTTGATGGTACTATTATCCTGGGAGAACAGCGCCTCACACAGGTGCCTGCACATGAATGACCTCAGCAGCAACCATTTCACAGCATGCTTCGGCCTTCTCTGAAGCCTCAATCCTTGCTACAGAGAAACAGCGAACGGAGCTGCAGGTGAATCCTTTTTGCCCCTGCACGGTACCTACCTGCGTCAGGTAGTCGATCAGTGCTAAGTGAGCCTTCTCCAGCTCAGCCCCTGACAGTGCGGGCAGTGGGTTAGGGTACTGCAACTGCTTCCGGTATTCTGTGGGTAGCAGGTCGGGGTACAGGCCCATTACATGGGTGGGATCTACAAGAAAGGCAAACGTGAGTCCTCCGCAAATAACAATAAAGATAAAGCAAGATTATTACAATAGCAAAGTTCCAGACTGACAGAAATGTCTCTATATTCAGAAAGACTCAGCGAACTGTGTATATCTGATTTAAATATTATGCATATATTTCACTATAAAACACTATAAAAGTGGCATGACTATCTTCCAAGATACAGATACAGCCACAGAATTAGAAGTGAACCTTTAACAACACTCTAAGTAGAATATAAAAACTTTCAAGAAAAAATTGATGCTATTGAAATGAAAAACATCAACAGACTTAATAAAAAATTTATATGTCAAAAAATAAATATTAGTTTTTATAATCCCAGACAACAGGCCAGGGAACACATCTGTAATATATGTGGGCAAGAAGGTAGTATACTGATTATACAAAATCAGGCTGGGGTTGCAGCTCTGTGGCAGAGTACCTGCCTAGCATGTGTGGAACCCTAGGCTCAATCCCCAGTACTACCAAAACACTAAGAGGAAGTGTTGATTACATAAATCCACACAAACTGGTAACGAATTCTAAGATTTTACTTGGACAAAAGAACTGGCAAAAGAAAGATAAAAATAAGTTTTGCCACACTAAAAATGTAATGTCAAAGTGGTAAAATTTTCTTTTTTTACTCAGAATTTCCTGTAATTTCACAGATGTCCACCTGCCACAAGGACTGGCTAATCACTTAGCCCCTGCCAGCTGTTTTGCATGAGGAGACTTAGGCAGCTCTTTGGAGACCCATCTGGACAAAAACAGAGGCCCCCACTCCCAAGAGTTAGCAAAGAGAAGAATAAGCCAGCTTTGAAATGCATCCTTTGGCTAGCCAGTGACCACAGCCTGGCTGACACACAACTCCACCTACACAACAGACCTGAAGCAAGAGCTGAGCCCAGCAATGCAAGGAAAAGTAACAGATGACAGCTCCTCTAAGCTACTAAGTTTTGGGGTGATTTGTTACATGGCATTAGATAGCTAACACATAGGTGGGTGCAGTTTTTACTGGGGATGTAGTTAACAGGGGAGGTGGAAGGCCAAAGAGGTAGCTATGCCTGAGCAGGATTGCCCAGCTGGTCCTGGCTACAGAGTGATTGCTGTTCAGCTTCCTGTTTCCTGCCGGGAGCACTCACAGAGCTGTTTCCAAGCCTGGCCACCTGGCAACTGTTTAGCACTTCCAGCTGCCAAACCACCAACATTCTAACACATCCTGCTTCACTTATCAGATGCTGCTTAGGGCATTCAGAATTGGCTTCCTTGTCCACACACACACAAAGAAACCTGAACAGATATAGGAGTTACCATAGAGCATTACAGGCCAGGGTTGAGGGATGGGGGGAAAGGCAAAGCAAAGGGGAGGAAGAAGAAAAAGGAACATGTAGAAATAACATGTTTAACAAAGACAGTAACACACACAGTGCTCCACAGTGGAGGCCACCTCATTTACACAGCACACTGGTAAACATCAGCACTGTCCACCTCATGCAAGGGGGAACTCAAACACACACAGTGGTCCAGCAGCCCCGGCCGAGTAGGCTGGCTACTGTCAAAGTTCCTGCTCATGCCTAGGTATGAGCAGAAGTCTTAAGACACTAAGAAAAGGAAAGACTTTGTAGTGTTGTCTTGTGATGGCTCTAGAATGTGTCCTACTGTTCAATCTAGGGACCTCTGTGTAGGACAGCATCCCATAGATACTACCTGATCAAGTACATATATGGTCTGAAAATTCCAAGTTTCTGGTTATGGATAAGACCAGATTAGGACTGTAGATATGCAACCATTATAGCCATCACAAGATCATGGTAGGCCCGAGGATCAGTTTTCCCCATTCTCAGAAGTTTAAGATCCCTGACCTGCCTGGTCTACTAGCCTTATAAGCTCCTATCCCAAAGCCACACCTGTAGTTACCTGTGCCAAGCTTAGCAAAGACCTGCATGGACTCATCAAAACGCTTTTGGCAAAAGAGGTTGAAGGCATACAAGTTCTTGATATGATGGATTTGTTGCTGCTTTTCACTATCAGAATCATCTTTCATTTCCTGCCAAGAGAGTAGAACAGGTTAAGTGATTACTAACCCAGTAAACACATATTCAGCATATTCTGGGTGACACTATCTTAGAAGCCACAGAAGCTCAGGACGCACAGCACCAACGTGTGTCTGCCCCCACAGATGCAATCTAACCACAAGTAACCATGCAACTAAAACACACCAAGGTTTCTGTAAATAGCCTAACCAGTACTCCTGAAGACTGCCACGGTCATGCAGAACAAGGAAAGGAAAGACAATGTCACAGGCCTGAGGACACTAAGCATATGTGACAATTAAATGCAATACAATTTCCAGATTTGATTCTGGAACAGAAAAAAAGGACAGTAATGAAAAAAAGTTGGTCAAGTCTGAATAAAGTCTTAAAATTAGTTTTAAAGCAAAAATCTAAAATGGGACAGGGTAGGTATGAAGGCAGAAGCAGTCTGAGCAGGGCTCCAGGACGGGCGTCAGCAGGGATCAAGCCTGCGGCAGCAGGGAAGAGCGGCAGTGAGCCACGTGCAACCAGGCAGGGATGGCAAGGGAGGAGAAAGGGGGGTGTGTTCATGGGAAAGGGGACAGATATGTGCAAGACCCTGAAATGACAGAGAACACGGTATGCTCAAGAATGAAACATCTGGTGAGACTGCAGAGTTGGGAAAGAGCCTACTTATCACAAAAGTACAATAAACTTTTTATTACCTTTCCCCCTTATATCCCATTTAATCAGTCCTTACCAAATCTAATTTCTTCTTCACAACATATCAGTCCCCTTCTTCCCTTTCCTTCCCTATGGCCACCTGAGTCTAGCCACTGTCGGCATATGACTAGGCTTATTCCCACACCCCCTTTTTTTTTGAAACAGGGTCTTGTTACATAGCCAAGGCTGGCTTTAAACTTGTGATCCTCCTGACTCAGCCTACCAAGTGCAAGGATTGCTGGTATGCTTCAAAATTAACTTTTGTTATCTTCATCCAAATGTCTTTAAATCTGCACTGTTCCATTTAGGCTCAGAATGACTTTCGCTGTTTCTTGAAATCAAATGCACTCTCCACAGATTATAATCATCATCACTGAGAATGTTTATAAGAGTAAGACCTAGACGCTAAAAGTCAATTTCAAAATGGTTCCTGGAGGGGCTGGAGATTTAGCTCAGGGGCCTAAGAGCCTTCCTGGCAAGTGTGAGGTTGTGAGTTCGATGTCCAGGACCAAAAGACATGATTCCTGGAAACGGAAGCTCCACTGGAACAGGGCACAGTCACTGCTTTGCCATGGGCAACATGTCACACAAACTTAAAGAAAAGTAACTGTTTAAATACCATCTATATCACATTCGGCCTTTTGAAAACAAAGGCAACTCACCCCAAAATCTCAGGAATAAGACTTACTGCAAGTTGCAGAGCCAATTCAAACTGTTTATCCTGGAGCAGCTGTTGGATCTGGGTTGCCATGGGAACAGGAATGAGTCTCCAAACAAAATGATTGCTGGCCACGTAGATAATGTTCAATCTGGATGCAGAAGTAAGATTATCAGTAGAAGATGAAGACACAGGCGACTTTAACCCTGGAGATAGCATGGTAGCCACAGTGAAAAAAGAAATTCCTTACCCCCCTGAGATAATAAAACGAGGCTTTTGCAGTTCAATGCTCTGCACCAGAAGCCTTGGCTCAAACGTTCGGATCTCCACGTATCGAGGCAACACTGCGATGATGTAGGGGGGCTGGTGCTCTGTGCAAGAGAGAATGGGCTGAGCTACAGCTCCATTGAAAAGCTCTGTTACAGACTCAGTTGCTCATGTGACACCGCGTTCAAATGAACTTTCAATAAAAGTCAAATACCATCAGTCAAATACCACAGTCAAATAGTCATCCCATGATGGTACGAAAGGGAAGGACATCACTTAGCTTGAGTGATGCCAAGGAGGGAACTTTCCTGCGCAGAAAGGACGTGCTGGCTCTGCAAAGGGACCCGACCCCGCGCCCACACATGCCCTCTCTCTTCAGTCAAAAGCAGCTGGACAAAAGCTGGATGTGGCAGCCTTTAGCAAGGCCTCAGGGGAAAAGCTGACTACAGACTGTTTCTTCCCTCATCTCAGAAAGAGGAAAAGAAAAGCAGTTTCTTACTTCTCAAGCCACATGGCTCACCAGCGTTTCTGCCTGATTTTCACAGGTGCAATGTTCCATTCAGTGGCTGTTACGATTTGAGCACTTTCACCCCCATCATGTGTTGGAATTTTATTTTGAGATAGGTGCTAAAGTGTGACTCTCTCACCTCTGCCTCCTGACCATCTGTGATTATAGGCAGGTACCACAATACCTGGTTTCTCTATTTTTTAAAAAATAACACCTAAATATATCTACTCTCTCCTGCCTGTACTATATAATATGCATGGGACAAACCAGAGCTTAAACATGCAGGTGAAGTAGAACCAAAGCACTAAAGAAGTCAGTATGTAAAAAGCCCAAAACTCTTATGAGGAAAGCCTTTCTTTTTTTTAGAGGTTGTGTGATGAAAGATCTAACACAGAACATAGCCTTTAAAATACAAAAACTGAGCTGGGCATGATAGCACATGCCTGTAATAACCAGCACTGGGGAGGCTGAGGCAGGAGGATCATTGTGAGTTGGAGGTCACCCTCAGCTGAAAATGAGTTCCAGGACAGCCTAAACTGCAGAGTGAAAGACTATCTCAAGAAAGACAAAACAAGTAAACAATCACAAACTTATAATGACACTGAATAACGCTTTGCTTTACTTTTTACTGAAGAAATTAAATATAAACAAATTAAATATAATTGTATCAACTTAAAAATAGGAAAAATAGAGCCAGATGTGATGGCACATGCCTATAATCCCAGCACTTGGGAGGCTGAGGCAGGAGGATCACTGGGAGTTCAAGACCAGCCTGGGCTACAAAGTGAGCTCAAGGCCAGCCTGAACAGAATAGCAAGACACTGTCTCAAAAAAACAGCAAAAAAAAAAAAAAAAAAAAAAAAAAAGGAAGTGGAGCTCAGTGGTATGGCATTTGCCTAGTACGCATGAGACCCTGAGTTTGAAGCCTAGTACCACAGAAAGAAAGAATAATTAAAAATAAAAACATATCAGCCACTGTCATGGTGTATGACTATAATCCCAACACTCAAGAGGCTGAGGCAGGAGGACTACTTCAAGATTGAGGCCAGTCTGGGCTATGTAAGTGAGTTCAAGACTAGCCTGAAGTACAGAGCAAGACTCTTCTCAAAAAAGCAAAAATAAATAAATAAAATAAATATTTTCACAGCTATGTTCCATATTATATCAAGAACTGGTAAAAAAAAATTGTGATGAGCTATTACCTCATACTCATTACAAAGGACACTATAAAATAAAAAAAATTTAAAAGTGTTATGGAAATCGGAATGAAGAGTCCTCAAAAAACTAAAACTAGAAATCCTGTTTGACTCCCTGCTAGGGATCTTCCCAAAAGAGTTAAAGACATCATATTATGGAAACACATGCACACCTATGTTTACAGCAGCACAATTCATATAGCTAAATCTTGGAGTCAGCCTATATGTCCATCAACAGGTGAGTGAATAAGGAAAATGTGGTTATTTACATACATTAGAGTATTATTCTACCATAAAAAAGGGGTAAACGTGGGTCACTTATAGGAAAATGGATGCACTTTGAGACCATAATGTTAAATGAAATAAATGAAAGACACACAAAGTATCACATGGTTTCTCTTATATGAGAACCTCAAAATATAGAGTACTTTAAAAGTAAAAGATAAATAATAGGAAGTAGGGAGATAGATCTTTCTCAAATGAGAAGGCGATCAAGAGAGGGAGAGAAAGGGAAGAGAAAAGATATGAAGAAAAGAATTGCTGTGTTAAGTCCATGTACCAACTCTACACAAGGAATGGTACCACCAGTTTTTATTTTTATAAACCAGGGACAAAACTCATGACCCTGCACTTACAAGACAAGTGCTTGTGCCACTGAGCTAAATCCCCAGCAGTCTACACAGTAATATAATCACCATGTACTGCAAATATGTACTAATAAATGGTGAAGCAGCTATAAGAAACAGCATGAGGGTTGCTCAGAAAATTACAGGTCAAATTACCAAAGGCTCCAGAAATCCCTCTTCTGGTAGAGCCAAAAGAATTGAAAGGGATATTTGCATATTTATGTCCATAGCAACATTATTCAGCAGCCATAGGTGAATGCAAACCGAGTGTGCATGGACAGACAAAATGTGATATATACACAGAATGGAGTATCATTCAGCCTTGAAAAGGAAGAAAATTCTGTCAGATGGTACAACTTGGACAAACCTTGACATGATGCTAAGTGAGAGGCCAGGTCACATAAAAAGACAGCTACTGATTGATGCCACTTATAGAAAGTGTCTAGAAGAGTCAAATTCATTGAAATGGAAAGCAGGATAGTGGCTGTCAGGGGTAGTTGTTTAGGTCTAAGAGCTGCTGTTAACCAAGATGAAAAAGTTAAAAAATACATTTAATATTACTGCATTTAAAAATGGTTAAGATGATGAATTTTGTTAAATGTTTTTCACAATATTAAAAATAGTTTTAATGTGAAAAGTTAGCAAAAAGCAAACCACTAGGTGGCATAATTAAACAGAAATTTAACTTTAAAGAACATACTGTATTCTGCCAAGTGTGGTGACGCACACCTAGAATCCAGGCACTTGGGAGGCCAAGACAGGATGACTGCTGAGTTTGAGACCAACCTGGGATACCCAGAGTAAGTTCAAGGCCAGCCTGTACCACACAGCAAGATCCTGTCTCAAAAACAGACAACTCCCACAAAAGACAACAAAAACACATAATCCCTATAGTTTCTTGGTGTATTTCACTTGCTGTTAATTTTTATTTATAATTATCTATTTCTGATAAAGTTTTTCCTATTACATTTGCAATTAATACTCTGAATAATATCATAAGATCTCAAAGCTAAAAGGAAACTAAGAAGTTAGTTATTTAGGGTCCACATATTTCCATCATTTTTATTGCTCTTGTTATTATTATGCTGATATTTTTTTTTTTAGTTTACCAAAACTAAAAGAAAATTTTAAGACAAGGTTTTTTTCTTCTGTTTTGTTTTTTTGGTAACAGGAATCAAACTCAGTTTCAGGGTTTCATCCTTGCCGGGGAGGCGCTGTGCTGCTGAGCTACAAACCCGGCCCCAAGGGCATATTGTCTCATTGACTGTGTTTTTTTTTTTTCTCTTTTTATGCTAGCCTCATTTTGAAAGTTAGTATAATTTTCTTTAGTATTAACTTGTATAACTTTGCAAAATTTCTTCATTCTTTTTAACCTGGCCCACTTATATAAGGAGCCAGAGGAGGTGACACTCACGGTGGTCAGTGTGATGGGCGGGTGCCAGGACAGCACTGTCTCAGAGACATGAGTGTGGAAAGCCAGAGAAATGGCTCATCCTACCAGCAGCCCAGAGGACTCCTGAGGACAGGTCTCAGGACATGGCCCCGGAAATTAAGGCACAGACTGTGAAACCCACTGTGATACCAGCAAAGGCTTTAACACAGGACCTCCCGTGCTGGAGATTCAGACACACTTCAAACACTGCTTCACAGGTCTTCATCTAGTCTGCCAAGCTGCTTTACCTGAAGAGAAACCAGGGCTCCCTAAGACACAAAGAAGCCTCCCAGATCCTCTCAGCTTCCAAAGTTGTTACTACACATAATCTTGGGCCTTCTAAAATACCGTCCTTCTGATTTATGCATCTTTGATTATCATCAGAACACAATGCCTTTATCAAGACCACTACCACTGAGGAAGCCTCTGGCTTCCTGGACCCCACCCTACTCTTCCATCCACAGACCACTGCTTTAGCACCTCAGTCCTGGCAGTGGCTTCCCACAAATCTACACAGTTTCTGCACTTACACCCACTTTTCCAACTATTCTTTCTGCCTCCAATGCAAGGAAATTTTTCTTCAAGCCAGATTCCAAACTTCCTACTTGTCCTAGTCCAGACCTGGCTATGCAGTGAATCTTCCTAGTTAAAACAGTGAACTTCCCTGAGAAAGGCTGAAGATAATGCATCCAAATGAACATCTGAAGCAAGTGTTCTGTCTCTTTTCCTGTGACATCATCCTTTTTCCTAAAACTATAGAGTCTTTCAAGATCCAACGCAGGTCTGTGTGCCCCCCTCACCACAGGAACTAGTTATCAGTGCTCATGTTTCTGGCTGCCAAGAAATTGCTGCAGAAGTAGGCAGATGCTGAAACTGGGTGTGATGGTGCACACCTGTAATCCCAGTCCTTAGGAGGCTGAGGCAGCAGGAGCACCACAAGTCTGAGGCCAGCCTGGGCTACACAGTGAGTTTGAGGCCAGCCTGAAACACATAGGGAGATCCTGTCCCTTCCCCACCACCCCAAAAAGAAAAGAAAAACAAGATGGGCAGATGCTTCATCGCAACACCTCCTCAGAGGTGGGTACCTGAGGCAGGCAGAGCAGCAGAAACACTCGATACCCAGTCAGAGATGGTCAGCTAACTGCAGTCTGTGTGTCTAAGCTACAAAAGGAATGGCAGCAATAACCATGACATCAAATGAAGTCATATAAATCACTGGAACAAATGAGCAATTGTCACTAACTTTCAAATATAGACTTCTTGACAGGGGATACAATAAAACCATTAAAAAGACATCAGAAAAGGAGATAAGTAAAAATAGCAGTAGACAAGCATGTCCTGAAACGTACATTTCTATTTACATTTTTCTCCTCTTGAGCAACACTCAGCTTCATGCAAAAACTTCAGCTCAAACTTGTGGTGATCCTCCTGGGCTTTTAAAGGCCCTGAAACATCACTTATGTGCGTGAAAGGAACCTATACACATGAACAACACAGTGCAACGCAATCTGCTAGAGCTTGGATGGGACCTCATTACACAAGGATGACACAACCCAGCCTAAAAGGGAAACGGCAGTGACCGCTAGTCTCACCCATGGCCGCTGGGATGTCTGTCCAGTTCAGGGCACATTTCTGGGTGCAGTTCCCCTCTTCATTGAGCACCACGGTGAGATCGTCCTGACCCACAGCCACTTTTCCATCTGCCAAAGGTGCGACTAAGGGCTCCAGCTGTTTTCCTGTTGGAAAGAGCTCTTTGATAGACCCCTTTCCATCCACCTACAGGAAGATACAGAGTGAGTCACTCAGCTTTCCCTGGCCAGAGGCAAGAATGGTCGAAATGTCCAGGCAAAACCCCACACCTAGGGAGGCCAGTAATGTTCTTTTTTTGATGTAAGTATCTGTTTGTTATGACAACCTTTATAGTACTGTATGACTAGTGCTCTAATATAGAGAACAGTGTCTACCTAGCAATTGGATGATGCCAGGTGCCAGAAAGTGCAGGGCACCTGAGCTGCCATACACTGCTGGGAGAGGCAGCAGTTTGCTGGTTCCTTGTAAAATTAAACATAAACTTACTATATGACCCAGCAACCCATCTCTAGGCATTTACCCAAGAGAAATGCAAATCCATTTGCGCAGTATCCAAATGAAAATGTTTATAGCAGCTTCATCATAATTGCCAAAAATTAGAAACAACTTCATCTGCAACTGATGGATAACACACTCCAGTACATTCATAAAACAGAACAGTACTCAGCCACTTAAAAAAAGCTATTGTCATATTAAAGTGAATGTGGAATGTATTATACCAAGCAAAAGTATCCAAATTGCAAAGACTAATGACTATATGTAGTTCTAGAAAAGATGAAATCTTAGAAGACAAAGAACAGATCAGTAGTTACCAAAGTTTTGGGAGCTGGACAAACATGGGGCTGATCTCAAAGGGGCAGTGTGAAGGAGTTTGGGGGTGATAGGATAGTTTTGGGTTTTGATTGTGGTATTAGTTATACAAGTGTAGGCACTGGTTAAAATCCCTCTGTACAACTCTTTGTATACCAAAAAGAATGAATTTTAATGTACATCAATAAAGAAAGTAATTTTTAATTGAAGCAAGATTTCCTACTCTTAGGATGCTGCACTCAAGAAGGTAAAGGAGGCTGGGGATGTAGCTCAGTGGCACACTACTTGTCCGGCACATATATGAACAAAAATGTCAGAGGACTGAGTCTCCCCCAACTTCCGGTTCAGTCCCCCACCTCACAGTGCCCTCTTTGCACCTCTATGCCTTGTTGCTATTAGACTGCTGCACAGGAGTGCTTCCTCCAGGGATTTGTAACCCTGATGCTGATGGATGTTTTCAAAATAAACTATGGAACAAATATATTAATAAACCATGAAGAACTCACACATTAGGGAGCAGGAAGAAAGTCTTCCAGAATTGGCAAGTCTGGATCAATAAAAATGAGTAAAGCAAAGGGATTTAGTTCATTCTATGAAATAAATGGGATAGAAACATTTTCTACACAGAGGACACACATTGGAGGGAAAAAATGTTGTAGATCTTTACCATTTAAATTGGGAGAAAAAGCAAACTATAAAACAATGTGTATAACATGAAGTTATTTATGATCTAGATTTAGAATGTCTACCTAAGGTCTCATGTGTTCAGAAGTGGTGCTTGTTGAAAGCAAATGGATTACAAGAGCTCTAAACACATTCATCTATGATTCACTATTGGTAACGCTGTTAAATGTGCCACTGAGAAGTAGAGTCTGTTGGAGGAGGTGGTCACTGGGGGTGTGACTTGGATAGGTGTGCAGTATTCTTATCCATGGCCCCTCTCTCTCAGCTTCTTGACTGCCATGTGTTGAGCAGCTTTCCTCTCCCAGACTTTTTGCCAAGCCATTTCTGCTGCAAAGCCAATCAACTGTGTACCGAACCCTCTGAAATCTTAAGACAAAATAAACGTTGCCTCTTACAAGTCATATATGTCAAGTACTTTGTTTCAGCAATGGAAAAGTGACTAATATACATGATATATTCATAAAAAGGTAGAAGCCCATAAACCAAAAACTTAAAAAATTTCTCCTTTTTATTTATCTATTTTTGCAGTATTGGAGAATTGAACCCAAGGCCTTGTGCATGCCAGGCAAGTACTTTACCACTAAGATGCATTCTCATCCTTTAGTGACTACAGTGGCACCTTGATTCACACACACTTTTGTTTGCAAACAATATGGCTCATGCCAGAGATTTAGCTCAGTGGATGCCTGGCAAGCATGAGGTCATGAGTTCGATCCCTGGTACCACACACACAAAAAAAGAGGTATTCAAACAATATAGTTCACAAACAGAAGCATTTGGCAAAACTTTGCTTTTGTTTGCAAACTCTGAACTGGGTAACAAACATGACCCCAGTCAACTTTCCCACCCAAACACAAATGTGGCCATCTTTTCCAAAACCAAAGAACAAATTACATTCATGAACTGACACAGCACTGTATTTCTGAAAGGGGAATTCCAGATGATTTGTACTTCCTTTAGTCCCTTATCTAGATTTTGTTTTTTTTTAAAAAATAATACACATGTGTAGCTTTTGAAATGTAAGAAAACAGTGAAAAAATTTTGAGGTAGGGTCTTGCTACGTAAGTTAGACTGATCTGAGTCTCCAAGTGATCCTTCCCATGTGCTGGGATTATAGATATGTGCAACCATGCCCAGCTCAAAAAGAAGTTTTAAAACAATTGTACTAAGAGACTGGGGGAGGTAGGAGATTCAAAGCTATAAAGACTGAAGTGAATGAGGACAGCAGGTCATGTGTGAGCAGCTCTAGTGACCATGGTCCTAATAATTAGATGTATGCCACAAATAATCATTATGGAGAAAACAAAGAGTAGACACTGCTTGGCTTAAATTACTCAGATATCTTATTTGTGAAAAATTCTAACAGCATAAAAAGTAAACAAACATACAAACTGATATGCCAAAAGCTCTATATTATGTTGGTTTCCCGACTTACTACCTCAGAAGTACATAATCAACTTTCCCAAGTACATAATCATCTTTCCCAAGGTAAACAGATGATATCTGTAAAATAATAAGCTTTACCCGTATCAGGTAGTAGTCTCTCTTGAAACCTACACAGATAGAATTTTCACACCACGCCATAGACTTGGGTACATCTGATACACTGAAATCCCCCTGAAAAGAGAGAACAGAAATATAGTTGAAAAGACATTAAAATAAAACAAGAAGAAAAAAATAAACAAAACTTATGACCTGTTATTTCACTTCTTTTCTGCAAAATAACTCTCACCCTCATCTGGACACAATTTTCCTAGCACACTGCCAGGAAACCATGCATAATAAAAATAGAAGTCATTCAAAAATGAGGCAAAGTGCACTTGGAGAAGGTAAAGCCCACTTTGGAATAAACCAATCTATACAATGCTATAGAATTATATATCACAAGTGGACATGAACAAGCTCTCAACTACTTTATACCAGAGTATTCAGATGGGGAGAGTGTAAGCTGGGATCCTAAACTCCATTAGAGCCACAGGAAGTCTTTCACACTATAGGTCTACAGCAGCAGCTCCCACCCAACCCAGGGACCCATTATCAGTGGACTTCACCTGCAATTCATGAAACTCCCTGTCCTTCCAGAAATAGAGCTGCAGTTTCTTTTTTACTGCCACACACATCCGCAACACCTCCTCTCCAGTCTCTGTGTGCTGGGAAGAGATACCAAGAGCAAATAAGGACGTGCACAGGATGACTCTGTAACTTGGTGACAACTACATCAGAGATTTTCTACCTTGAAATGGCAGTTAAGCTGAAAATCCCCTGTAGCAAAAAGCCATGCTGCCAGCAAAGCTGGAGAGAACCCCAACATCCTCCTAGATGTCCTCAGCAACTCAGAGCACTTTATCCCCAAGTCCCACTAGCCAAAAATCGCAGTGTAGGCCTTAACTTACATGACTCTATTCTTAAATGTCTATTACTCAAGACTAGCATGAGTGAGACAAGAATCAGCACATGCCAGTGATCCCAGGCCTACTCTCACCCCTTTGTTTTATTTTTTATTTGGGGGGAGGGGTGTTTGAGATAGGGTCTCACTATGTAGTATAGGCTGGCCTTGAACTTACTATGTAACAAAAGCTGACCTCCAACTCATGGCAATCCTCTTGCCTCAGCCTCCTAAGGGCTGGGATTATAGGTGTGAGCCACCACACTCAGCTTTACCCCTTTTAAAAGAGTTGGGGAAAGAAAGTTCTAAGCATAAAACAATGCAATATCAAGGGAGAAGGGAGAGGAGGGAAATGAGAAAAAGAATTAAGATGTATCATGTACAGGTACAAAGTCCTTACAATGAATGGTGTATGTATATCTAAAAAGTACCAATAAAATAAATTTTAAAAAAACAAAAAAATGCAACATCAGAGTGAAGCACACATGTTGAAGAGATCACATATAGGGATGTGAGGCAGATTTTTGAAGATTGTAAGAATAATGAATTAGCAAAATAAGAAGCTGTTAAGCTTCAACAATAAAGACTTCCCTCAGTGATCTGTTTAACAAATCAATTTAATGTTCTAATTATGTTCATGATACTATCACACTTTTGCTTTCCCACTAGTTGTTTATCCATCACAAGGGCTTCTATGAGAGTTGAATGAGTAATTATCACATTCAGACATTTGGCTTTCTAATTAAAACACAGAGGGAATGCAAATATCTCAGCTTCACACCATGCACTATGAGAGAAATCTCTCCATGATAATCCCAACCCTAGCACTTCTCTTCCGACTCACGTGGCCTGAGCTTACCAGTTCCACTTCCTCACAGAATTGTGCAAAGGTAGAGCAGACTGCACACACACAAGCATGCCGCCATGCTTTTCCTGCATGTACTCACGTGGAGGTCACAGGTGAACAGCGATGCTCCCTTTGCCTTTGAGACTGTAGTGATTTGTTGAAATGTTAACAGATCATGGACATAAATGTTGTTTTCTGTTTGGAAAGAGGTAAAATGTCACTATAAATGACCATCCTTCTCTAGTACAGCCACATTAAAGATGAAAAAGGCAATAACTATGTAATACCTAAGACCATCAAATGGCAGTTGCCAATTCAAGACGTAGCTTCAGTTTCACTAATGAGGATTTATTCTGGTTTGTCACCAGCCCACACATTTCACAGGTTATCTGCTCGTCTCAACTTGGATGTTTTGATCTTTAAAAATTTGGGCTGATTTGAACAGAAGAGCTCTTTCATGTCCAAAGCACGTTATACCTTGCCCTACTCAAGCTTGGAAATTTGTGATGCAACAGATGTACAACAAATAATTTTCAAAGCTACTTACATTAGGAAAAGGAAATCTGTGGATTTTAGGCTGCCTTTTTTTTTTGGTGTTGGGAATTGAACTCACAACCTTGCGCTTGCCTGGCAGGCACTTGTGCCACTGCCTATATCCCTAGCCCAGTCTGTGGATTTTTAATGAACATATGGCAAGGATTTCATCCAAGCCAAGTTAACACTGTAATACAGCAGTACCCTCTTAGACTACTTAGTTCCAAAACCCCCAACAGACGGCTGAGTTGGGATAGTAATGAACCCTTTACATATATATATATATATATATATATATATATATTTTCCTACACATACCTGTGATAGTTATAAATTAGATACAGTAAGAAATGTAAAACATAAATGAAATACATTAAACTAATAAAATTAAACAATTATACTGTAATAAAAAGCTTACGTGAATGTAGTAGCTGTCTCTCAAAATATCTTTCTGCACTGTCCTGGCCGCCCTTCTTTTGAACTCACAGCTGACCATAGTTACTGAGACCTCAAGAAGCAAACTGTGGATCACAGAGACAGCAGTGATTCTACCCTGGCCTCCTACATAGTTTCTGCCATAAGGTGCCTTAAATGTGCATCCTTAGCCTCAGAAACTAAGTGTGGGGTCCTGAGCTGAAATATGCAGAATACGAAGCAGGTTTCTAGTCCTTTTCTTGTCCTGAAAAGGGCTTACAAGCTGCTTCTATGAAATAATGGCTCCTTACATACCCCTGAACAGTCTGATCCCATCTGCCTCCCCCATGTGATAGCTTGTCACTCTGTCACATCCTAAGCCCAGCCACAATGAGCCATTTGCCATGTAGCCATGTTGTGAGGTCTTGTACAAATTTGTTTTTTCTGACTGTGATGTTCAGCCCACCTCTCTTCCTGGGGAAATCCTAGTAATCCACTAAACAACACAGTTCCTCACATTAGTAGGAAAGGGTTTTGCTAAGTTTAAGTCACAGAGATGGGTTTCATCCTTGTATTTCTTCTGCCTCAGTTTCCGAATGTGATTATAGGAAAGTACCACCATATCTGACCCCATAATACACTTTATAAATTTCCACTGTTACTTACTACTTTGTATTATTATTTTTTGACAATTGTATTTTTTTATTTAAAACCATTAAAAATGATACAGAATTTCAAAACAAGATAGGAAATTAACAGTGGTTATTATATTGTATATTGTTGTCTTCAAAATAGTTGCTCAGGGGATTCTGGGAAGATAGCAGATTGATAGGTATCAGGGTAGAGAGCCTCTCTGAGAAAAACAATTCAGATGCTAGAATTTAACACCATCGAGAAGACCAGACAAAAAGACAGGGATTCTCACGATCCAGGAAGAAATTTAGGAAAAATAAAAGGAAAGGAAGGAAGGAAAAACGTGTACGAAAGGCTGAAACCAGATGTGCTCTCATTGGAGCCGGTCCCGGGCTGTGCTGGGTGTGTCTTTGAATCAAAACTCATGGTTGCGCTGAAGTCTGAAATTGGGGGCTGGTGAGCCCAAGGCTGTTGGTGGGAGGATGTGGCGCAAGGGAGAATAGAACCAATGTGGAGAGCTACACTGACCTGTGATGAGTGCTAGGAATCTGGTCCCGTGGAGTAGGGTGACCGGCTGGACGACATACTGGAGTTGGGCAGGGCAGGCCTGAACCCAGAACCGCAGTGGCGTCAATCAGCCAGCCCTGGCACAAAGCAAGCTGGTGGGATCTGCTTGGGCTGCATCACGTCCCTGGTTCAGGACCCAATAGTCCTGAACCTGTGATGTCTGCATGGCACAGACTAATGTGCTGAAGGCACTTGCCGGTTGACTGGCTCAGAGGGGAGGGGCCAGCCCGCATCATCCCTATGTGCACCTCACAGATCAATAGCAAACTGGCGAGGGCAACAATCCCCTAGCCAGCACGCTTCAGAAAAACTGTAAGCAATATGGAAAGGGCCTGAGGCCTCCACCATACACCTGTCTGAAAGAAACCAGAAACATGACAAGAGAAAGAAACAAGAAAAAGCCTCCAGTGGCTGAAGCAGAGAAAGTAAGTCCAGGAGAGGTAAATACAGAAGAGATCAAGGGCAGCAAACATGCAGTATCGGACACAGCGTCAGTGGACATAAAGAAATACCTTCGTGACCTCATAGACAAACTTAAAACTAAAATTCTAATTCAAGTGAAGCACGATATAAAAAGGTTAATAAAAGAAATGCTAAGGACCTCTCAAGAAGACACAGATGGAAGAATGGAGGAACCAGAAAAGGAGAGAAACCTTTGATGAAGAACATAAACAAAATCTAGAATACATGAAACATCCAAAGAGATTACCAGGAAATTAAAACTCCATTGAAAGCTGGCAAAATTCCTTGACAGAAACTAAAGTTAGACTTTCTTTTTTTTTTTGTCATCTAGAAATGTATTTATTTTCTGTCTATTTTTTGAGGGGAATCCATTTACAATGCCCATTTCCAATAAAATATGAAATATGCTGAGAACAGGATATTCAATTAGAAACCAAGAGAAACAGTGTCTATAGAAACAAATCACAGGTAATTCAAAAAGTGAAATTATTAAAAAGGCTTTTAAATCATGATTAATAAGTTCAAGAAATTAGAGACAAAAATGTAGAATTTAAGCAGCAACCTGAATTTCATGATAGAGTCATGGAAATCCCTAGAATTAAAAAATATAATGCTTGAAATCAGGAATTCCACAGTAAACTGAACATGGCAGGACACAACGAAATGGAATACAGTCCATAGGAAGTCAGATCTCTTTCTCTTTTATTTGTTTATTTTGGTATCAGGAATCGAACTCATGACCTCACACTTGCCAGGCAGGCACTTATACCACTGAGCTAAATCCCTGGCCTAAATCTCTTTCTCTTGCACACACACAATGTAAAATAGACAAAAGAGAGTAAGATAAAAGATGTGTACAGTGTGCTTCTTTGGCCTGCATATTCATTGAGAAATGTTACTATAATCAAGCTAGTTAACGTAAGTATTGTGTCAGTGCTTTTGTGTGTGGCACTCACACATATTCATGGTGAGAATATGTAACAAGTAAGATTTACTTGTTTAGCAAATTGCAACTATTTATTTATTTATTTTTTTTAATTTATTTAAAGAAAAGGAAACGAAAAAAAATACATGGAGATTAAAAAAAAGGTAGAAATAATTCTAAATTACAGACAAACAAAAGGTAAGAAATTGCCAGTTGATAAGTTACAAATTGTCATCTTCGAAATGGCTGTTCAGGTTATAGAATTAAAGTATATAGAATGACATTCAAAAAAAAATGACCCTACAAACCATTCTGCTCTATGGCCGAACAAAAGCTCCGTAATATGATTATCAGTCCCACCTATTTGTTTTACATCTCTAAGAGGATAAGGTTAACCATATCAAAACAGAACAGAACATTTTAAAAAAAAAATAAAAAACAATTTAAAGAAATACAGATTTCAAAGCAAGTCCACTGGAGATCTACCTTATCTAACTGTCTCTAGCTTCTTACAAATAGTTGTCCCTAACTTCACCCACTTTCTATACTTATTGCATATTATAGAACTAATCAAATCATTACAGGATGATGGAGTCTTTTTAGGTCCTCAAGTTCCAAATTAGGGAAGACAATACCAACTACCATCGCATCTCTCATTCTCTTTGTGATAACCGTCCCCATCTCTGCATATGCTGAAGTTGAGCTGAAGAAACCAGTCCAGAGTCATTTTAATCAGCAAGCAATAGATTGCTAGAATTTATATTATAATGCTACAAAATAAGCCTCGGGTTTTTCAGGTCTCTTTCTCAGAGTATTTGTTCCTATCCTCTCTGTATTATAGGGAAAACCAAGTCATAACAAGACAACGAAACAATTTCCTAGATAAACATGCAATGGATAGGACTTATAAAACTATAATATAAATGATCTTCCGTAGCTACTATGTTTTCTCTTGTTATTTTCAATAGATTTGTCGACAACACTGGCTTATTATAGTTAAACATACTATCACCTATTTTTATAAAAACTTATCTTTGACTGCATTGTAGTATTTGAGAGCTGTTACTGATTCATACCAGTATGGATATCCTTTACATCTTGTCATGCTCAGAGTAGTTTCCTCTACTTTTAGGGTTGATTCTAACACGCATACCGATTTCAAATAGGATCAGTCAAGGCCAACCAATAGTCTTATGATTCAGATACAATTAAGATCAGTCATAGTAAGACAATGTAAGTAATACAGAATTTCAGCCTAAGTCAATAGGAAAGTAAGGATAGTTGCCGTGGTATAACCTGCTATTTTTGGTTCTAGAGGTCTGTGTCCTCAAATCTGATATGAGTGGACAGACCAGAACAAATTTAATTCAATCTAAATATGTCACTAGGACTACTGTGTCTTTTAAATCGTTATACACCATTAGCAATGACCTCTGCTTTTTTTTTTTTTTTTTTTAATATAGTTTCAGAGCTGTCTCTACTAAAGACTAGCTTACCGTCTCTGCCTCATGTCTGCTACTCCACTTTTCTGCTATAATTTGTCCACCTTATTCCCTCATTCCATGGTCTGCCCCGTTCACTGAGGCTTCTCTGCCACTGTAGCTGTAATCCTGATATCTCTTCCTCTCTTTCTCTGTAATGTCCTTCAGCGCTCTCCGTA